TGGTGAGTTTTTGAAAATTTAGAGGAGAAAAAATGTCATCAAAACAAAAAAAAAAAGCTCAAAATCACTACCAATGTTATACAAACAAATTTGTAGGAGGAATTATAAATTTTCCTCCGATAGATGACATTTTTCTACTCTAAAATTTTGCTGATTCCATCATAAAATTTTAACATTTACGAAGGAATGATGAGAGAATAAATTGAAAAATTTTAAAATGCAAGAGACTATATTGAAAAATTTTAAACAATAGTGATTAAATTGGAAAAAATACCCTTTAACTTAAGGACTAAAACATATATTTAGCCTACAAACCTATGCTAAGCTTAATGGAATAAGACACATATCTTCGACAAAACGTTGAGAATTCCAATCTCCACCTCCACATATCGGTGTATTAAAAAAAATATATTAATTTAGCATTCTTTGTTTGATTTCCCACACTACACAAGACATCTTCGTTTATAAGATTGTAGATTTGAATCTGTTAAGTGGTTAGATATCAGTGTCACATGTGAGCTGGTATTAAACCTACTCTCTCCCTCGTCTTTTACGAAAGATGAGTAACTGAAATTTGTTTTACACATTAATCATGAATTATAATAATGGATTACATGTTAACAATACAATAACGGATTCAATATCTTTTACAGCCTAATATAACTTGTAAAATATTTGTAAAAATGATAACGTTACGTTCCAAAATGCAAATACCAAATTAATATCAAAATGTTTGAAAAATAAAATAATGAAATTTATGAGGAGGGCAAATTAATTAAAATAGCATTGAATGTGAAGTTAATTAGTTGCCTTACTTGGCATAACAAAAAGGGTACCATATTTGAGAAGTAATCCACATGGAGAGTGAAATTGGTGTGATGTGGCTGTAAATTTTGTGGCTATTCTAGTTTCTAGATGCTGGTGCTGCCACCATTATTGTCCTCTTTCGAAACTAGAACTAAATGCATGCATTCCTATTTTCAATTTTATTTTTTCTACGTCACAATTAATATTTTAATTAGAGATATATATCTTAATTAGTTGAGATATATTTGAGTTGGATTCAATTTTGTTAAAAAGATCATCCTCTAAAAAGATTTATAGTGTAAATAGACTATTCTTATAGTTGTCGATTGATTTTGATATAAAACTCATAAATATTGATAAATTTTAACTTCAAATATGACGTTATTGTATTATGAATTTTGAAATTTGAGTCCAAATTAAGAATTTTATCCATGTTTGTTTATAAGATAACAATATTTAATAGAATGAGTTTTTCTTGAAAGAAAGGATGTGATGTGTTAGATTGATCACAAATTAAATTTGGGTAACTTCAACATGTGGGGTGGAGAATTGAACCTACAACCTCTTGGTTGGAGATCGATATACATAGCCAGGAATAGTGTCCGAGAACAAAGTACAGGCGGAGGATAAATTTCCTCACCTTGTCATGACGAACAATCAACTGACCTTACTATCTACGAGACAACATAGCTTGATTCTAATTACCACTAAACTATGTCTGCTTTAACGATATGACTTAGAAACCTGTGTTTAGTATATGACGTTTTTATAACATATTTCTTTGTATGGTACAAACATAGATTACACCAATCAAAATTTATTAACCTCAAATTTCGTGTACTTAAATTTATGAAAATGGTAGCGAAAAATCTCTCATTAAAAAATAACTTTTAGAAATTAATTATCCAATATATATTCTTAAATCTTACCACGACCTGTTTGATGATGCTTTCCTAAATCAAACTTGTTTTTCTCATAATTTCTTTGTTTTTGTTTTCAATCTTTCAAAAGAAACATTTTTTAATTCATAACAAAAATAAAATAGTTTTAAAATTGTGAACATTTTTTTTTAAGAAAAGGGTTAACAAAAATTTTGAGTAGAACCTTAATTGTTAAAAACAAAAAATTTAAACCAAAATTTTTAATTTTTATCTAACAAATTCTTGAAAAAAAAAATATTATTTAAATTAAACAATAGACCTTCCAGTTTCAATTCCACAAGAGAAATGATTGGTCTTTTCCATACATTAATTTTGCTTTAAAAAAAAATAAAAATAAAACGTAGTTTGTCATTTACTTTCTTCATAATTGGGTAAATTAATATGTTCCAAATAATAACTTTCCTCATAGTCATAGATTTATTTTCGGAAAAAAAAAACAGATTAAATTATTCAACCTATATACGTATTTGATTGTATAACCTCTCAATTATTACTGCTTTGCTTTGAAGTTTATAGTTTCTTTTATTTTTGTAAAAACATTAAATTTTGAAGTGAAAGATGGGATCTTTAATTCTTCAGATTTTATAATAATGTCACCATTGTATTCATCTCCAATAATTTCATCATAATTGACTGTATCTTGAATCAATAATTTCATCGTAAGATTCTTGACTGGAAAATAAGTTATTTCTCTGAAAGAAAAATAATACCATTAAAAAAATGGTTATTATATAAGGTTAGGGTATTCTTTTTTCTTTTTTAGTTCAGCAATATGTGGAATGAAAGATTCGAATTTCGACCTTCTTTATATATATTTTAGCTAGGTGAATTATATCGTTGTTGTCATTTAAGAAGACATTAAAAGCTCTTTTAACATTTATTAGGTAGAAAATTAAAAATAAAATTCTATAGAATATAGGGAGCTTAACAACCAGTTTTTGATAATTTGTTTTCGGTTCTTGAAATTTGACAATTTTTTTTAAGAAAATAATGATAAAGTTTATTTGTAAATAAATTTAATTCAAAATTTTGAAAACTAAAATTAAAATCATTATCAAACTTGATCTAAGATGAATAAAATTTGATATTTGATACTTATACGACGAAAAGTTTAAACAAAAAAATAAAAAAGAAAGCCATTAAAGTCTAGATACTTTGACTTGAAAATTCTACAAAATAATTGAAAAAATGATAGCAAAACCAAAACTTATGACAAATTGGCTTAGTGCTAAAATTCAAGATATCGACAAAGGAACCATCATCGTCCTATTAGACCCATTTCCATTTTATTCATTATGTATTATTTTTTACAAAATAAATAAATTTAAGCCATTTTTCTTCTTTTATCCCTATTTTTTTAATGTAGAATATTATATGTTTTTATCACAATATTAATATTATGACAGAAATATTAAAAACAATTTGAAGAGAGCGTAGTTGGAAAAATGAAACTATGTTGCATGTAACTATTCATTCCAATTTACATGATAATTATTTTAAAAAAAATTCCTCCAATAGAATTCATTATTTTAATAAATTTTACTAAAAATATATCGAGACTTTTTTTTTCAAGTCTTTTTTTTTAATATATTAAGTTTTCAAGTAATTTACACATTTAAAAGGTTTAGCTTTTGTTTTTTCCTAATACCGGTGGTTGCTTTAATTTAGATGAACAAAATGAGAGGTTATATTAATTTCATAAGCGTTATCATCCTATTTGATTTTATCCAACAATGTTATATTACTGTCAAAGCGAGTGTAACTCAACGGTAATTGATATAAATCTACAATCAAGAGGTTGTAAAGTTCGATCTCCCACCCCACATATTATATTGAAAAAAACAATGTTATATATTAGAGGTTTACTCGCCAATTGACTTCAAGATTACTTGGAACAAAAAGATAACAAATTTGAAAAATAACTTTGTGCTTTTTTTTTTTGTCGTGAAAAATGTTTTAAGAAAAATAGAAGTTGTTTATTACTTTCAAAATTGTTTGTGTGAATAACACTGTGGTCTACTAACAAACAGTAAGTACCTCGTGACTTAATTAAGTGAGACTAAAAACCAACTAGCATGCACGAGCTTGTCTCGCTCCAATCACAACCACCACAAATGTTATTTTAAAACCCTAATAAAAACCAAAGCTATACCAACTTAGAAACTATAAAAATGCTAGTACAAAGCATAAGTGAGTCCGAGACCACAAGCTACTCAACATGCTATTGCTATTGTTTCAACCTTTTTCAACCACCACAATTGTTGAAATTCATTTTAAATTTTATCAAGTAAAAAATTATGAAGACATTAGTACAAAATCCAATCTAAGGAAGTTAGGTAGCGACATAGCCTAGTCTAAATGAGGTCTAACTAAAAGATACCATAAATCTATATATCTAATTTTACGTACGTCTAGGTTCCAAGACGATGTGATCATGTGAGACAAGAACGTTGTCCAGACATGCTTTGTGACAATCTAAAACAAGACAAGTGCAAAGTACCATCCAAAATATGTTGTTGTGTTGTTTAATGTAGGAATAAATGCATATTTATTGTTGTATGCTTATCGTATATACTTGACTGAGTCTAGCTCGATCTAAGTGATACTTTTGAGCTATCTAATCTATATGAGTAATAACTCTAACAAAAAAACGTGATACTAGAAAGCTTCCCAAACAATGCATGTGAGACTAAGAAGCAACCTAATTAAGGTGAGTCGTAGCGTTTAGCCTCGTGACAGTTGGTTTGAACTTGAAACAAAATATAATCAATATAAGAAAAATGTATATACAGCAGGACGGCATTGTATTATACGTAGTACTTCAGTACACCTTTACACAATTCGACTATAGTGATCGAAACATCAATGTCAAACGCCTCTTGTCCTCCACAAACATCCTTTTAAAATGTGAATGCTCCCTCCATCTTCACCATGTTTACATTGGATTGATAAGCTCAATCAACCATCCAGCCCAAATCAAACGATGAAAGAAAGGATACCTATAAAAAATTAAAAGTCATATGAAAGAAGTTTCTGTGTGGTGCTTTAAATTCAATGGTGGGCAAGTGAGATTTTTGGGTGTTTGTTATAAGATCTCATGGTGCGACACTGTGTTTTTGAAAATGTGGTATTGAAATGACTAAAATATCATCAGACATTAGCAAGGGACCCGCCAGGAAAATCAACAAATTGGGTAATTGTAGAAAAAGGTCGAGGGGAGCCGCTGCTAAAGATTGGGATTGGGTGGACAGATGGCCCAAGAAGCAGCACGCGAGCCTTTTTAGCTCAGCTTAAAATGGCTCCTTTCACACTCCCATTTCGTCCCTCTGGCTAGAGGTTGAAGAAAACACAGAGAGAGAGAGGAGATTCAGAGAGGTGAGGAAGAGGCTCTCCGCTGGAGGGCCACAATTTCCCCAAGAGAATCAGCTCCAAAAAAAAGCACAGACACCCCTCAAAGAAGCTACTCTCTGACGGCCTCAGTGAGTGCCCCAAAAACTTTTTCTGGTTATTTTCTTCCTCTAATTGCAACAATTTCTGTGCCTTTCTGATTGGGGTTGCTTGTTTTCCTGATTATTGATACTATTGGGAACTTAATCTGCTTTGTTTTTGAGGTTTCTTTCGCCATTGATTGTGAATATCTTTTGTATTTTTGGGGATTTTGACGTCTCTCTGACTTTTCAGTCCATGCTTCTGACCCATTTCGCCTGTTTGTTCCCCCAGCTTGTTTGTTCATTTTTCTCTCTTCCTCTCTCTACGCCGAGAAGAAAGCTCAAAAGGGGGGTTTAGTAGAGGGATTTATGACTTCTGAGTTTCATCTGTCCTCTGGAGCTTTGAAGCAGCTCTGGTTTTCTTCTTCTTCTTCTCTGTTCTCCACACTTCACATGCAATTTGGTTCTCAACAATATCAAAGTTTTCGACCCTTTTTCATGCAATTGAGATCAAGTCGGTATGTGGATTTTGCTTATGTCTCATTTATTCTTAGAGTTCAATACCTGATGAGTCTATTATTTTCGACCAATATGTGGGTTTTTGGCTGTTCTTCAAAACCCTTCTAGTTTTTGCTTAATATCGCTTTCTTCTTCTCCTGCAGGTCTTGTTCTGGAGTGAAGGGGTTTCAAGCATCTATCAGAAGTCATATTCTCTTCTCAATTTTGGTTAATTTTTGTTTCAGGGTTTTGGGTTTTCCGTGACATTAAGATCGTTACAACTTCCTCTGTTCTCCATTTCTCAATCCTCCTCCACGCTCTCAAATATTCATCCTCTTTTCTAAAACAAGTTTTGCCCTCGCTTATTTATTCATTGGAGCCAAGAATTTAAGCTCAAAATGCCTGGCTTCCGCGAGCAATTTCCAATTCGAGATGTGTATGGTAAAGAAGGGAAGAAAATTAAGCAACTAAACCAAGGAAAGTCCAATTCTGTGAGGAAAATTCGTGTAGTGTTTCATGATCCTGATGCCACAGACTGCTCAAGTGAAGAAGATGAACTTTTCAATAAAGAGGCTAAAAAGATCGGTGGTAAGCGCTTCATTTGGGAGATACCGTTTTCAGACATCCGCCATAAGCCATCCAAGGAGAGCTCGCACAAAGAAAATGGTGGAGGCAAAATCAGAATCAAGACTGAAGTAAAAGGGAGCAGTAGAACACAGAGATCGTCGTCGATGTATAAAGGCGTTCGACGGAGGAAATGGGGGAAATATGCAGCAGAGATTCGAGATCCATTTCGTGGTCGAAGATTGTGGCTCGGCACTTATAACACTGCAGAAGAAGCTGCTGTTGCTTATCAGAGAAAGAAGTGCGAGTTCGAAAGTATGCAATCAAAGGACAACAGTGAGCTTTGCGGAGAGAAATCCGAGGAGGAGAAGAAGAGCGGGTCAATTGTTGATGCCTCAGCTGAATCAGAAGAAATTATAGCTTTGTTTTCCCATCCTTCACCATCATCTGTACTTGATGTGTGTGCTGGAAGTTTATGCAGCAATGAACTCAAGAATGTAGTTCAAGAATGCAATGTGGATCAAACTGTGGCATATTCAATCAAAGAAGAATATAAGGTCTACGAAGACGAACAGTCCATTTCAGACATCCTGGAAGATACATCGATACCATTACCGATACCACCATTAGATGCTCGGGAGCTGGATTTTCAAGGTCTTGATGACAGTTCATTGATCTGCAACGATTTTGATCAGTTATCTGATGATATGAACTACATAGACGATTATACTCTATACAACATCGAAAACAGTCTTGGGGCACTTGATCTTCCTCCAATGGACATAGATTTCGACAAGGAGTTTTCTTGGTTCGACGAGACGTTGAGCAGTATATCATGCATGTAAGTTAAGTTTTGCAGTTAGGAGATAGTTAGTAGGCACTGAGAGCAGTAAAAAAAATTGTTTTGGGTGAGTCTGGTCTTGAAATAGAGCCATTGTGAGGATGCAATCTGTGATAATGTTTTTGGTAGAGGGAGAGTTCTTGGGTTTTTCTCTGTGCTTTTAGAGCCGTCCAAGATATTTTTTTCAACTCTCATTTGTACTGCTAAGTTACATAATTATTATCAATGCAAGTCTGATAAGTTTTGCCTACTCCTCTGCACCAATGTGCATTCATTCAGACACTGTCATATATATTTTCTTTCCTCTTCTGTTTTCTCACAGAGAGACAAACTCTGAGTTGGTCTTATCTGTGTACATGCTGCCTTTCTTTTGATTCCCTTTCTAAGAAGGCTCCCCTGTTTTTGTCTCTTGCTCGATTTTGCTGTGTTTTTGTTATGGCAAGTGTTTGGCAAAGCCTTATGGGCAGAGAGAGCCAGAGAGGCAAGTGTTGGGCAGTACCTAGAGTGAGAATCACACACACACACACAGATTTGACCATGAAACGCATGGACGAAACAACCACAGATTTACTTCCCTAGGACTTATCAAACATGTCTCGAAACCGAGTCGCTGATCGAGGTTGTTTGAAAAACCATCTTGACAGCAGGGGTTGGGTTGGTTTTATTAATTTATTAATATTCATGGGAGGAGTAGCTCACTTATATTATACACTCTTGTTAGGTCTACCTTAACATGCCTCTGAAGATGGTGTCTCTTTTGGGATCACCAATCTTGGTCGGATTTTATTTTTGGATTGGATATTAGTTTGAATTTTTTGGACTCTAATACCAATGTTCATCAGTTTCGTATTATGCTTTTATGTCGAGGGATGATTTATTCTTCCTATAAAATAGATTTTGAGAGAAGATATAGTAGCACCCTGCTAAGAATATCAATCGAGTTAGTAGAAGTTGACTTGCTTGAGTGATTGGGTTGCGATAAAGTTGAAGTTTAATTAATCTTATCATATGATAACAAAAAAAAAGGGTTTTTTCTTTTTTTTTTTTTGGTGGCTTGCGTACCAAGTTAGCGATGGAAGAGAGAGTAGATAATGGGAGTGGCACATCCACAGAGCAGAGGATAGCTTGATAAGGAAGCAATATTTGCATAATTTGAGGGTGGTGGTTATATGTACTTTTCTTGCATCATTAAAAAGAATATTTCCTTTTTTCCATTGAAGTTTAAAGTTGAATTTCCACAGCCTACTCTAAAGTTGGGGCCTTTTTTTTAAATTATTTATTTCAAAGGGTTTTAGAGTGAAATTTACGTTTGACTTTAGTCATTCTATATTAGAAAATAGTCAAACATCTCTTGTCAGATGGTTTTTAAAGTGGAGTTTGAATTTTCTCCACTCTCCATTTGCTTCCTTCAATTATTTTGATTATATTAGGAAATTTTTTATGAGCAGCCTCATTTTTTTTAAATTTTTATAAATGCACGTTTCATGAAAATTGATAATAAATATAATTAAAAGAAATCAGTAATCACTTATAGGATTGAGAACAGTGATTATTATTATTTGAAATGTTCAGAGACAGTAGTGATTGATCCATATAATTGATTTTTGACGGATATTTATTCAGTTTATTACAGTAATTGACACATGTTGCTTTGCTGTCAATATTATGACAGTGACTATTTTTCATTTTTTTTATTTTTTGTGATAATAATTAATTTACATAATTGATGATGGAGTAAGATATTGATAATTAAGTTTCTATAAGGATATTCTAACTAATTAATATAAAGAATCTAAGAAAGATTTTATTCTTCTCACTTTTAGTTAGTTTTGACAAAAATTTAATTGTTTAGATAAATGTATCGTTCCTTTTTTTCCCTTTGAAGTTTACCTAATATTCTAATTTCAACCCTAATATTTTAAAATTTTTAATTTTGTTTTCAAAAATTTAAAAATTTAACGATTTAAATATTATTTTGACCATTGTACTTTCAATTTTAATTTATTTTGATCTACTTTAAAAAACAATTTATTTTGGTCATTGTATTTTCAACTTTCAAAAATTTAGTTCATTTTATATGTACATTAGTTTTTAATGTACTAATAAAAAGTGATTGTTTTGGTTTCTAGTAATAAAAATTGAGCACAAATTATATACCCAACAAAAACTCTTTAATGCAAAGTTATGGTTATATTTTCAAAAAAATTTATTAAATGTAATGTCATATTGAAATTGTGATTGAAAAAAATGAAACAAGATTTTTTAAAAGTAAAAAAACCAAAAATCAGACATTTAAAAAATATAAAAACTAAAATTGATAGAGGTTGAAAATATCAGAATCAAACTAGACGTTGAAAAGTAAAATAAATAGTATTTAAGCTAATTGTCAATAATTAGTCCATTTGAGTTATCGAGCTAACATTACTGTGCATAAGGTTATCAAGCAAAATTTACCTCAAAGTGCGAGCTCTTGCGTTTCAGATATTTCCAATTATATCCTTACCCCTTTTTTTTTTGAACTCTGAAAACAAAGATGAGAATCAAAAATATGCAAGTTGGAGTTGGGATGGCAAAGAAAGCCGCCATGTCAATTCAGACAGAGAGAGAGAGAGAGAGAGTGGGTCCAAAGGGAAGCCGCCTTCACAACAAATTGATTTTCAAAATTTAAATTTCAATCCTTTCTTTTTATTTAATTAACAACGTGCATCATATTTAGGGAGGTTCATAGGACGGGGATGCCCTGTCTCCATCTCCGCTCCCCATTTTGTCTTCCATCCTCGTAGGATTCAAGTAGAACTTCTCTGCGGAAAATTCACGGAGATCGGATCCCCACACTGAATCATCCTCATTTATTCTTTTTATTATTTTAATTAGTTTCATCATTAAATTACTTTTTTTTTTTTAATAAAATTCTAATTACTTGCTTTCTCCACATATAGATGAAAAGTCATTTATCAATGAAAATTTCTTAAAACACCTAATAAAAAAACCATACTATTTCGTTTTAGTTTAAATTATCCCTATAAAATATAAACATATAACAATAAATCTACGACATCTCAACAATAAATTCGAACAGAGAACAGGGATGGAGACGGTGATCCTCGTTCCCGTCCCCAGTTAGATGGTGGAGAAAGTTTTTCCTCAGTCCTTATTCAGCGGGATGCCTAGATGGGGATTCCTCATCCCATTCAGGGCAAGTCCCTACGAACCCGTCTCCAGTAGAGGAAATTGACACCTTTAACGATATTCCAAATCCGCTCCATCCACAAAAATTCTCCCTCTTCTATTTTCTAATTCAATTTTCCAAATTTTGTCCCCTTTTCCCCCAACTTCCCTCTAATATAACCAAAAATGAGGGCTGAGCTTTAGAGAGAGAATCCAAGGATAGAAGAAAAAAACACCCATGTGTAAGAAAATCAATGAAGAAACCATACATGAAAAGAGATCTGTGAGCAATACATAAAAGAATTAGGCATGTTCTAAAACTTTTTCAAGTTTTAAATTGCTGGTATTGGTAAGGATGTATTCTTTTTAGAAAGTAGTATTACTAAGCACATCCTACCAACAAGATTCTTCTATCCATCATTATTCTTACCTATCTTTTATATTTTAGTACACAATATAATAAAAATGATTCTCACAATTAATGTCTTGAGGGGAATACTCATTTATTGGGATATAATTTTGAATTCAAAATGCTACAATAACCAATTTTAGAAGTCACATTACTATAATTATAATATGATCTCATGATACTGTATCTTATCGCAATAAATTGATCACAAAGAATCATAAACTACCAACTAAAATGTTGGGCATAAAGTGCTTATGGGGGAAGGAGGGAAGAAGAATCCTAAGAAGATTAGAATAGTACACAATCTTACAATGAGATATCTCTGTTCATTACTAATCTCCAACAAGCTGGCATGATTCATAGACTTAAAAAAGAATATTGAATATTAAAATTTTAGATTTTTGAACCACATATTTGATTCCGAGATTTTTAGGATCCTAAGAAGTCCAATTCATCAACTAGTTTCCTTATATCTCCAACTTGAGTTTGAATCTTCATCCTTACATGTTATTCGAATTGAGAAACTAGCATCAATAAACACACGTGTAGCTATTCTGTACAAACCCAATTGATGAGTCAAATAGACCTACTTTCTGAGCTGTGGTTGTAAGTGTATAAAATTTACTTTCTTGGAGTTGGGGCCAATATATTTGATAATAATTTGCTGTCTTCCAGCTACAGCTACAGCTACATCCGCAGCAAAAAAAAATTAATTTCGGAGTGCAGATTTTGACAGAGTTCATTGAAAACTCACCTATTGGAATTCACTTTCGTTCTAAAGAGTACAAGGGTTTCCCTAGTGAGATGCATATATTCTCACTGATTTGTCAGTTTGTTCAATTTGTAAATCACCAAATGGCATTGGAATTTCAAAGTTTCTGAATCTGTCCTGCTCACTCACACTCAGCAACTCTGTTCTGTGTAGCAGATATTACATGAATTATTCCTGTTTTTCCTCTCTCTTTCCCTTTTGCCTCTTTTTGAAATAGAATGCGAATCAGCAAAGGGATATCATATTCTGGGGCAAAATAACAAAAAACCTACATGTACCTACATTATTCCATCTTATCTGTGGGAATTTAATCCCTCAAAAAGCATGAACACGATAAGATAAATCATTGTCTGTCTTTTGCAATTATAAATACAAATGAACTCAGAAATCAACAGGTTAGGCAGTCTAATCAATCAACGTGATTGATCTTAAAACCAGAGATTACGCTATTCAATGGTTGAAGCTTTAGTGTATGATATGATCTTATCAAGTTCTCGGGTTAGCAAGTTTACAAAATCTGATGTTAAAGTTGGTATATGGATTTCTTTGTCCTATGCTGTAAATTTACTAATTATTATAAACGACAGAAACTCAGTTTATGAAATTGATCTTCTATACCATATACTAACTTCTGCATGTTATAGAACAAAAAACTGTATATAAGATACACAAACCAAATTAAACGACCATACAATCTTTCTGCTAGACCTCAGTATCACATTTGACATAACCAAAAACCAATACACAGTTGAAGAGAAGCATCCAATGACAGAAAACTTCATTTGATTATTTGGCGTTTTTTAGATGTCCAAGTTATTGGCAATTTTAGACAACAAGAAACTGTGCAAATCCATTGCCCATGGCATTGTGATCCATGCATATTCCTTCTTTTAAAAAGAAAATAATTATAAAAAAACTGCAGCTGATGGAGGTCCAGATTTAACAGATCACAACGAGGAAAACCATCCAAACATTTTCTGCAAGCCACTTAGTTCACCTGCAAAAGATGCAAAAACCTTTATCCTTCATTTGTATTTTTATTTATCGTGGAATGAAAAAATAATGATAACAACCACCATAGGCATCAACTTGACTAGCAAGAACCCTTAGCATTCAGTTAGCCTCCTATCTGTAATTTAAAGGGTCAGTGTAGAACCCATTGGCATTTTCTTCTGCAGTACTTTGTACATCTACATCCATTAGTTTCTTCCCCCATTTCGTCTCTACGCCCTTTCTTCTCCAAGCTTTGGAAGTTGAAGATCCTGAAGAAATTTGACTATTTTCTTGGCTGCTCTAATATTGTTAATTTTATTTGAAGATTCTCTACCCTTTTGCCTTGGCGTCACTGGTGTATTTTGTACAGGTGTAACTTTGGGAGATTCAAACCATCTTTTGGCTTAGACATTCTGCTACTGAGGCATGGCGTTGTTTTTGGCATACTTTTGATACTTTGGTTATAAATTCAAGTTGTCGGGCAACAATGCAGTTACCTTAGATCTTCCTTTTTAGGATACAAGTCATTTATGGTAAGCCGGCTACTTTACCATCTATAAAATATTTGGTAGGAAAGAAACAAAGAATTTTTTCAAGTCTTAAGAGGTCGTCAAGAGAGGTTTTGATGTTGGTACACTCCAACACCTCTCTTTTGAGTTCAAAGTTCTAAGCTTTATTATAGTTATCCTTTATTCATGATCACCAACTGTAGGGGCTCATTGTTGTAATTTTTCTCGTAGTCCCCTTGTTGGTTTGGATTGGGTTAGCTATTCCGTGTGGTCCTCTTTGTACTTTTATATATCTTAAGGAAAATTGGTTTAGTTATCCAGAAAAACATTCATTTAGATATTATATACACTTAGTTCAGATAACCAGTGGTATAGACCGTATGGAAAATAAGATATATCACTCTCCAGCAAAACCAAACTCCAATCTAGACCTAGTTCATAGAATTTTTTTTTTCTTATCAATGTTCTTTTTAAATGAAAAATCAACTTTAACTCAGCACAAAGAAAGAACAAAAGTCGAGCCACAAAAGAAAAAGGATAATAAAAAGAGGTTCCAATTGTTTAATAATAGAAAATAATGGATAATCACTAAAAATTATTGTAGAGAATATTTGGTGTCATTGAAATGTGTCGATCTCCTCTTCCTTACCAAGGCTCTTCCTTCATGAATAGCAAAAGAAGCAACCTACCAATAGAGGCTTTCCATCATGACAAATGGTGGATGCCAAAGCACCTCCTCTATTGCTCCATCCTAACCAACAGTAAAGATCTCCAAGAATCTACCCCAAATCTTCTGTAAGAGTACTATTAGGAATAGTTTGGAAATAATATTAGTATATTAGTTAGGGGTATTATGTTAATTAGTTAAGGATAAGTTGGATATAACTAGAGGTCGGAGGGAGAGAAGGGAGAAATCGATGGGAATAGTTTTAAGGTAAGGAACTTGGGATAGTTCATGGAAGAGGGATAGCCCTCTCGAAAGGCTATTGATATTGTAATGTCTCTTTGATATTGCAACATAGTTATATGGTTACCTTCCCGCAATCGGCATCCCAACATCTTCACAACAAAGTGACATCACCACAGGATATGATTCAAATCTTTTAATGCTTATTTACAGAGAACACTTTTTTTTTTTTTTTTGATATGGTTACAGAGAACATATTATTGAATTCCCAAGATCGTAGACAAGAACATCTGGATAACATCCTCAGCTGAACTAATTCTCCCAACGCAACAAACCAAGAAAAAAAATTACATTCAGATTTTGACATTTACAGGCCAACTTGGACACAGCCTCCACTTGACTAGATGAGTCGCACCTTCTTCCCATCACTCCTCCCTCCCCTCAGCAAGTCTTTTGCAATCTTTTCCAACATGGAACAAATAGATGAAGTTATCCTAAACTAGTTAAGGAGGAGCACGATCCCACCAATAACTGACTGAATGAAAGTTACCTCACCCTAGACCAATCCTCTCATTCCATAAAAATCCCTAACGCACCTCCATGTTCTAGTGCAAAGATTACCAATAGCATTGGAGTTCTTACAAACCGGAAACCCCATATGAAGGGAGATGGGCATTGTAACCACATCTTCTAAAAAGCCAAACCCTGCTTGGCAATCCTAATGTTAAGAAAAATAGGCCAGTAGTCCAAAGCAATTCGGGGACTAAAATGTTGTCTGATGTCCTTGAAAAAGATCCAACCACCCTCTAGACAAAATAGAATATATATATAAAAAAAGCACTGTCAAAGTCTACAATAAACCACTGGAGCACGAAGAGCAAACCAAGAGAAGTTACTATTCACGAGAGCAAGATTCAACAGATTAAAGAGTGGTAATCTATCCACATTCAACTTCTTGGGGGGGATCTAGAACCCTGTAACCACACACCAACACCACCCACAACGCCCAAAAAGGCCAACTGAGCTCCTTCAAAGAGCATCACTCTCCTATATACAGCCACCAGTGATTCACTCAAATAGATTGGTATGATTGCAAAAGTGAACAGAAGCACCTATCACTGCCACTTCTATGGGCAACAAATTGTGAGGATCCCATTATCCCCAAAGTTAACTCAAGCTTCAATGACCACCGACTTAATGTCATGTCTTCTATACACACTTCTAAGAACAATGATTAAGTGGCTTGTAATATTAAGATCATTATGCAACTCCTTAAAAACTCATGATTTCTAAAGGAACAGAAAATTTCAATTGTCTTCGAAAACAAACCACTAGCGACTACAATGATACAAAATCTTACTGCATAATTGCTATCAAAGTTTTCACTCAACAGAGAATTAAAATTAATTGGCAATATTGACAATTGATTAGAGTTCATAACTCTTTTCACACCTCGTAGCAGCACACCAAATATAATATAGAACCAATATACATTGTTCATCCATAGCTCTGACAAAAACAAGATTTGATGATCAGAACGATCAAGTACAGAAATTAACCAGACAAGTTGCAAAGGTTTAGACTCACCGTTATTCCTCCCAGAGGTTCACTCCGATTCACCTGGCTCCACTTTAGGACCTAATCAGAAGCAAGAAGAAACACCATCAGATCATTACTAGAGGGAGAGTTACTTCATTCAGTCAGTCCTTTAAATTTCTTGAGCAGCCCAAGGAGAAAAAATTGGAGAATAGTGCAGCCAGATAGTACCCCAGCATCAAAAGGTTGAAATGAATCAGATTAATTTCAAAGAGTATTCATCCACTACGTTTTATAAGCAAAAAATATTTTAGAAATTAACACTTCCAGTATGGAGCAGATTCCCACTTATGAGCATCGGCACCCAATTATAACCTACATTCAGTTACTCTAAATACCTCCATCTTCAGCCAAAAAGGCAAAATACTTCCTATAATGCTGAAATTTCTGGGAAATTAAACAGAATTAGAGACGAAAAGAGAGAACCGTGGAGAGATGGGTGGCGTCCGTCCTTGCCCCAGCCGATGCCGCGAGTGGAATCAAGGTATTGTTGGACGAGGTGGCGGCACTTCTGAAGATGGTTGACTCCTTCAATGCGGTAGCACCATCTGAGCCGTTCCCTCAGTATCTTCGCCTTTTCGATATCGATCCACTTCTCTCTCACAATGTGTTCCCTCATCTCCAGCATCGCCACTGGATCCTTGTACGGATTCTCCGCATCGAAATCATCCGGCGGAGATTCATCGAATTCCACTGTCTTCCTCCTCCCCATAGCTTTTCCCCTTTCTCTGTGCGTGCTCCGAGTCTGAGAATCGTCTTACTCTTCGCGCTGCTACACGGGAGGACAACGCAACGCACGATATTCATCGTAGTGCGCTAAATGAATGGGCCGGGTTGAAAGCACATTCGGTCGCTGGGCCCATTTTCATTCCTCACAAAGCCCAGTGTAATTGGGCTAAATGTTCTGTTCAAAACCCAGATTTGCCAAAAAAAAATTTTTTCGTAAGAATATTTTTCAAATTCTAGCAAATTCTGAAATCGAAGGCAAATATAAATATACATGTTAGAATATTACATCCCAAATATCAAAATTGGAATTAGAATCTAACACCTATTATAGAGGTATTTATTTATAAACTTTCACTTAATATATACATATATTTCAGAATTTCGGACATTTTGATTGATAATATACACTTTAACCATTTAAAAATTGATTTCAAATTTCAAAATATTGGTAAAGATATATTTTTTTATGAAATACCGAAATAAGAAAAAGAATCATAGTCTTTCTATTAATATTGAGGGGGGAAGCTAATGCAAATGCCTGAGTAGAAAAATTGCGGCAAATTTCTGTCCCTGAAGATTTATAAACTTCCGGACAAGCAAACGCTACGCTGTTGGATTCATACGAACCAAATCTCGCAGCTCTCTTGGCGAGAAATTGAGAAGCAATCGCAGTCTCAGTTGGTGGTGCTGGGACGTCGAACATGGCGGGAAAGCAAGTTGCCGGCACCGGTCTGCCGGAGAGCATCGCAGGAATGTCGAAGAATCAACTCTATGATATCATGTCTCAAATGAAGGTACCTTGTTTTTTTCTATTTTCTTGGAATCGATATTGCTCCGTCCCCCTTTTCTTCATCCTGAATTCGGTTTGTCTCCGAGCAATGTCTAGACGTCGGAGGTATGATTGGTGTTGTGTTTATTTTTGTGCAGACACTGATTGAACAGAATCAGCAGCAGGCGAAACAAATTCTCATCCAAAATCCGCTCTTGACCAAAGCTCTTTTCCAGGTTTCAATTTTTAGGTTTTTCGTGTCCTGAGTAAAGCTCTTTTACTTAACTGTGTGGAGCTTGCCCTGTTAATCTTGTCTTTGAAGAGTTTGAACAATTAGGGTTTTCCCATGAAACAGGGTTTGTATAATTGCAAGTACGGCAAGGAAATCGAATACGATATAGTAATGTATGATTGTATACACAATCTTTTACGAGGTTTAATTTTAATAATTAATTAACTTAAAGCTGTTGGATCATTTCCTTGAACGAATGGATTGATCTATTCCGGTTGAAATCTAACTAATTTGGGAGTATCTCTCTATCTTTCCAACTTGCTCTGCAAGGACGTGTAATCTCAAAGACGAGAAAAGTAGTCTGGAACATGAGTTTTCTTCTTATTACCTCCTTGGAGACAGCATAGACTGTCAAATTGTATGGCCTATTGCAAGTGCCAACTTTAAACGCTAAATTCTAGTTCCGACCAGGAGCAAGTGTTATTAATAACAGTAATTTATTCTCTAGGGTACTTTGAGTTATATGGTTAATAGCGTGGAACCCTTGTTACTAGTTGATCTGCTCATTTAGAGGTTTTACCTTTAGTTTCTTATTTGGTTAGTGAAAATGTTATTGATTCTACTGTTTTTATCTACCAGGCGCAGATTATGCTTGGGATGGTTAGGCCTCCTCAGGTAGTACGCTAGTTATCCTCTCTCTTTTTTTCCTGCATTTTTCTAAAGTTATTTTTCAGTTTAGATTCCAAGCATCCAGCCTTCAACCTCGCATCATTCTCAGCCATCAACACATACAACTCATCAGTCAAATATTCAGCCTACTCAAACACCAGCAGGTCAAATAAGTTTGCAAGAACAAACGAATGCACCACCATTGGCCCCTCCTAGAAAACAATATCAGAATCAACCATCAATGCCTATCTCATCAACTACTCTTCCTACAGTGAACGTTCAGCCTCAGTCAGCACCTCTGATTCCCCTGCAGACACCACAGCATCCCAAGGGATTTGAGATGCACCAAGCAAATCCCATTTCTGTTCCACAACCCTCTCAAGTTCCAAGCGTACCTCCAGTTCTACCGTCTGCTGCACAGCCACCTTTACTTCATCAACCCCAGATTTCAACTGCTTCCGTACAGCTGCAGCAGCCATTACAAACAGCTGAAATTCCCCACCTGCCACTACAGGCACCACTACCCCCACAGTCCAGAGCACCTACGGGTCCAAATTTCCATCAGCACTACCCCCAACAAGTGGGGCACAATATGAATTACCAACCTGCCGGCATCCCACAGCATGTTTCACAGCCCATGTTTCATGTAGGTCAGAGTTTTAGTTTTCAAGTTACAATTCTCCTTTGGATTTACAATACACAAATCTCCAGACAAAAATTATTTCTCAACCTCTCTTGTCTATTTTTTAACGTTCTAGTCAGGTACCAAACTTCCTCCTGGTATAGGAAATTCATTTCCCCCTCAGGGACAGTCAGCAGTTCCTAGTCAGCCACCCCCTCAATCAATGTATCAGGTACCTCTTTCTTTATTTACTGAATTAGGATGTGTTTATCTTGCATATACTAGATCAGTTGAGTTCTTACGAGGCTGGTGAGGCCTGACAGGAGCATGGGCTTCTTTCTTTCAATTGGCTTTGAGGTAGATTTATCGACTTCCTGCCCCAGTACACTGTTGAAGTGCTGTTTCAACTTAAATCTTAATCATGATTCATGCTGTATGCCTATCTTGAGCCCCTGACTATTCTGTTCAGTATAGTTGCTGGACTGTTAATCATTGATAATAATATTGCTATAAATAATACAGTTTTCTTATGTAACTCTGTTGAGGCTAAATATAAATAGATTAGACTTTGATTAGATTCCAATGTTATGTGATTTTTTCTTTTCCAAATTTTATTTACCAATAATGGTTAAGCAGTATAGACTGGTGTAAATATTGCAGACCCACCATACCAGTGGAATATACTTGTAGGTTCTTGGTATTATTTGTGTTTGCATTTGCCTGAAATGGACGCAGTTATCTTTTTAGATTTCAGGCATAACCCTGGAATGCATCAAGACGTTAGATGATGGAACCTGGGTTGCTCAAAAGAAAACAGCCGCAGTCATGCTGTTTGATCTATTTTTAACCTTTTGTATGTTGTAAATATTCTCATAGGTTTCCTTCTCATGAGAATTGATGGAATAAGGAGTTCCACATCCTTCAATCTCAATCTTGCATGGTTCTCTATTGAGTTTCATATATAGCTTTGGTTAATATGATAGGTGAGTGAGTACGCGTTGGACTTTGGAGCTTACAGAGTCCTAAATTTTAACAGCTCAAAAGTTCAATAGGAGTGGCTTTAATTGTTCAGTCATGTGCCGTTATTGCAATTGTACTTTCTTTTGCCAACTATAGTTCTTAGTCATCATAAGAAATTGGACTTGTTTTAGACAAGCAGGTCTTGACTTTGAGCATGCCAGCTACTTTTAGAGCAAATTATTAAAGCCAGTAGAGAACAATTTATCAAATAACCACAGTATTAGCTGTTTAATGTCTCGCTTGGTGCATATTTCTCTCAGGCTGGAGGTTCTAAATTAGGTACAGAGTTCATGAATCAAGTTGGAACTTCAAAGCCTGCGGACAGAGGGCCTTGGATGCCTGGCCCTCCAGAGAATCCTACACTACCACAGCAGCTCTCCGGACCACCACCATCAGTCCCTGGTCAGATGGGCCCTGGCAATCAGCCTCGTCCTGCACCACCGGTACCATTCTAGTGACTCTTTATTTCTGTTTGGAATAACATTATCTTATTTTCATCTTTTGCGATTGACTCCTTCCCCACTCTCGGGGTTTCTCCTTCAGTTGAGCCAAGAAATGGAGAAGATGCTACTTCAACAAGTCATGAGTCTCACACCGGAACAAATCAATCTCCTGCCTCCAGAGCAAAGAAATCAAGTGTTTCAACTACAGAAGATACTGCGCCAATGAAAAATGTTCTGGAAGGGAAGCAGGCTTCTCTTGATTTCCTCCCTTCCCTTCCCCTCCCCCTTTCTTAACTCTTGCATCATTGATCGTGCTCAGATTGATTTTTAGGCTGCTATGGGAGTGTTTTGACTTTGTCTTTGTATCTGTAACTTTTTGCTTCTCGTCTATCTATGCGAGTATTTTTATGCTATTGAGTTGGCTGTTTTTTTATTTTTATTTTTTAAATTTATTTGGGTGAAAGACTATCGTGATAAAGTAACCTGTACATGAAATTAGATCGATTGAAATGACTTTAAAATTCAAATGTAGATTGAGTAGAATAGATACCCTTTATAATTCAAACTCAAACGTAATTTGGTTTGATTGGAGAAGAAATTTTAGTACCAAGGACTTCATTGTTAAAGTGCTTTAATATAGAGATTGAAAGATATATTTTTACCCAACACTTGGGCGCCACTTTCTTTTTTGTCATGATTGTAAGAACTTTAAGGTTCACATCTACAATTTTTTGCTGTTAGCTCAACCGTTACCGCAGGAAGTTAAAAACTATAACAAATGAGGCCGATTCTTCCCAATTGTTCAGAATAAATAAGAATTCCTATACGAAAATGAACATGAAGGGTCCTTGTGATTTTACGGACCCTTCTCGAAAACATGTACACTTGTATCAGAATCTCAAAATATAGGCCACAGTCATGATTTGTACTGCAAACTGACAAGGTAGAGAAATCTGACGGATCTGATTAATATCCAGATGATCTTCTGCTTAAGGAAGGGGATGAGCTGAGAAACTCCTGACCAAGTTCCTTAATCTTGTTTATTAGAAGCATTTGTTCAGTTTCAAGCTGTACCATATACTCTTCTTGCAGATCCTCTAGACTTTCCAGCTCACTCAAAGCTGTTGCAAGTCCTTCAAGATTGCAGTCTTCAATAAACGATTGAAACTTAATCATCATTTGTTTCATCTGCAAGTTTTTCAATGCAAAAGAAGAGATTTTGAAGTTATTCGGCCGGGATGCACCAGAGATGCATAAATAACATGTCAACAGATTGGATGCAAACATAAACTTAAAATCTCAAAGAGACACAGAACTAAACTTTTTTCTGTACAACTGACCTGACTGGAAATCTTTTGAGCTCTATTCGAGGGCATTTCAGAATCCAGACTGGGTCTTGAATCCAGACTAGATCTCTTATCTAGTTCTGGAACTCTCCTTGTGATTTGAATATGAATCTCTCCCCTTTTTACCCCTTGAAGTGGTATCCATTTGTCAAACATCTGGTTTGGAGGCAGCCCTTGATATTCCACAGCACAATCGCCTATGCTTGATGTGGGGAGTAGAGCATTGTGGTCTTTGACATGTAACAGCAGAGGGCTGCTGTTGTCAGGAAACTCCAACACCTGATTCCACTGGGGACTTAGAGTTTTGTACATAACCTGCAAGGTTCTGATAATTAAGTTGAGAATAAATGATCTAAAAGTTTTAACATAAAAAATCTCATGGTTATGACTCTAACCATTTGATAAAGCCATAAGAATTTTTGACACCATGGAAATTGGAACTTGAAAGATAACTTATTATAAAGTCAAGAACTAGAATGGTACTGTATTGAACCTTAGTTCTTTTCTTCAGTTTTCCATATTGGACCCTCACATAAGGATCACTTGTCCCTCTGAGATCAGCAGCAACAAGATCTTTTGCTTCAATCAGAACTAGTTCAATCCAACCATTTGCTGGACCCAAGCTTGAGCCCTGTGGAAATGGAACAATGTGGAATTAGATACCATGGAGTTGGAGGATCATATAACACAGATGTAAGCCTTGTTGCATTTACACTTGCTTAAATCATCTCTTTCTATCTTTTTAAATCTCTTGAAACAGACTCTGTACGTGACGAAGTTAAAGGTTCATACCTTTGATCCTTCATTGTCATCCACTCTGATGGCTTCTATTTGAAGCCTCAATTCTCCAGAATTAACCTTTTCAAGAGGAATCCATACGTCTCTGATTGACCCTTCTACTAATCCTTCCAGATTTACCCTTGCACTGCCAGTGTTATCATTGCCGAATATGTCTTCAGTAAGGCATTTTAACTTGAGGTATTCACCCCCAGCTATCTCATCAAATTCAAACTTCTGATTCCAGATTGGGTTGAAGGAGTGAGCAGTTCTCGTGCGCTGGAGACCCTGAAATTATGAAGACAGAATTGTCAAAAGGGAATATTATCAGTACTAATATTGGGTAATACTAAAATGTTTGAGAAATTAGAATAAAAGAAAACTACCTTGCCATACTGCAATTTGACATAAGGATCACACTTGCCATTTTTGTCTTTTGTGGGTAGATCCTTTCCTTCCACAACTGTGATGTTAATTTTTCTTCCAGTGCTAGCAAGAAAATTTGATGGTCCATACAGAGACTGTTGTGGTCTAACATGATAACTGTTAGAGCTATGTGAACCATCCGAGAACATCCATTCTTTTAAAACAAGCCTCACTGATAGCTGCAACAACATGCATTACAACGATGTGTGAGCGCAAGAGAATCAACTGGCTACAAAATCCAGCTTAGAAAACAGAGGTAGAGAAGTAAAAAATCATCAAATCCAAACACATCGGATGAGTGGCCCTGGTCCTCTTTCATTTCTCACTTGTATGAGATGTGTGAAATTATCATCAGATAAGAGGTCCTTTTCCATTGAGAGAGTTATAGAGTTATACCCTAGCCTTGTTTAGAGTTAACTTGGGATAACTTTTAGAAGTACGGTTTTTCCATAAATACTTTTGAAAAGATCAATAATTAATTCTTTGTCTGCAGTGTTTTTATAATTAGTTAAAAGAAGTTTTAGTCGTTCCAATATTCGTACCAGTTTTCATCATTCCAACCACTTAAATCTGTGTCGTCATGCTCGACCATCAAGATGAATTCTGATTTTTGTTCTTTATTGATGGTCTGAAGCCGTCTGTTGTACTCAATGGTTGGTAATTGGTCTTTTTGATTTTACACACAGAGAAAGTCACTGGGATTTTACCTCTCCACAATGGGCCCCTTCAAATGGAATAACCATTTCAACTTCTTTTCCACAAAAGTCAGCATGCGTGGCTAATACCCTGGAATCTGGTCCTATTGCCCAAAATGTTGTGGAATCATCTGCAACATATTTCATCTGCTCATAAAGAAGAAGCTTTGAATTAGCCAATGATAGAAATTTATTGGAAACACCCATTCAAATTCTAATTCTGTCTGTTTTTTTGTTGATATTATATTCATTTTGCACTCTGCATTTTTTTTCTCTTGAAATAAAAGGATATGCCAGATTTTTAATCCTTTTGTAAAGAGAGTCTAGATCCATTTCAGAGAGTCTAGATCCATTTCTTATTGAGGGTTTTGGATAGATAATCAGCAATCCATTACACCAAAATATTAACCATGGTATTGGAAAGCATGATAGCGAACATAATAATAGGACCTATGATTATGAATATACATTTATGTATCTGTATTTTTCAATTTCTAGATTTTTTAAACGAAATTTTATGGTCAATTTATACCTTAACCTCACAACTTGCAAGATAGTCATGCTTCACATGGCTTGGATTATACTCATAAAGATGAAACCGTAAGGTTCCTGTATCTTCATGTAAAATCATATTGAATGTCGTATTCCACTGAGGGTCTGAACCTGATCTTGCCTCCGTTTTTCTACTAAGCTTTTCAAGCTCAACCTCAACGAATGTCTGCATATCTTTATCGGTAAGATGCTCTCCGAATGAACCATTAGTAGAGCAACTATGTTGCCTTCTAGTTGGGCTTCCTTTCAAGCTACTTCTATAAAGTTTCCTGGCAGAAATGACTGTCACATATATAATACCGCCCACAGCCTTTTTCCTCAGATCGACCGGTGGCAAAGAGATACAACGCCTGCGAGGTTCAACCATTGTCCTAACCAGGGTATCAGTAAAAATTTTGACCTGCATTAGAAGGGACAGATTGCTGAGCTACTCAAATGGACTTTGAAACGAAGATTGCATTTATTCCATAATCTACATGTACCTATTGAAAGAACTTTGCAATCCTTGGGAAAAAAAAGAAATAATTTTGCAGATTGCAGAAGCATAAGTATCCAGGAATATGATATTTGCCGATGTACTACCAGTGATTGATGTAGAAACATACCAGCCAGGAGGAAACACCCGGGAGCTCTGTTGCGGGTAATGATTGGCTTCCACCACTTCCAAAAGCAACTCCTATTCTTACATCAGGAGTTGTCACAAATGAAAATAAAACTGCCTTCCCATCCAAAATAGGCATCAAGACAAGCTGTAAACGTTATCCAAACAACAGATTAAATTTTACGACACGGCTAGCTTTTATTTCAGTGAAAGCGTGGATTGTATATGGTTGAGTGCCAACTAAAAGTCTAAAACACCCAAGACATCCTAAAACTATAGAAAAAACTCATGAACTATAAACCAAGGAGAAGATAAACTTTGGCACAGGTAGGACTGGTTGCACAACTTTCATTTGTATTAGAGGTATGAAACTACTATTTGATTCTGATCAAAAGGAAGAGACCCACTGGCATTTCCGAAAATTTAATCAATGAATGAAGTTGGAACCACAAAATGAATGTGATCGCTCTCTCTTAGTGAATCTATGATATTTCATGAGTTAACCTTGTTATCCTGCTTATGCTGAAAAATTGAAAGAGTGGATACAGTTGAGGGAAGAGGGAAAGAAGTTATACGTACGTCGCCCTTTATATGGAGGCTGTTAATAACAATCCGTGCAGTTCCCATAAATGGTTTGGCCAGTTTTGCTTGCAACAAGATACTCATTTCATTTGTGTCCCAGTCGAAACTTAAATGCATGATTCTCTGTCAAAACTCAATAAGAAAACTTAGTTCAGATTTCAAGCCTTAATTATCAAAGAGAACTGTTAATCACAGAAAACTACAGCCAAAATATGGTTACTCGAAAGCAGCAAGAATAACATGATTTTTATTATTACCATCAACATATGTAGTTAATTTGAAAAGAGTACCCCTACTATACCCCTAAATATACTACTAGCTAGACACAACAGCTTTTCCACTGTTGTTGTCTGCAGCTTGAATTATCAATAAACCTTAACAATAGCATCATCACCAATAAATAAGAACCTGATAGGAAGGTAACATTGAGCATACCCAAAAAAATGATTTAAAAAATTTAGCATGCGATAGCAATTCTACAGCCTGATTATTTTAAAAAGAATGGAAGTTCCTTGAAAGAATTTCCAGAAGAAAAATACATGTTGTCTAAGAAAAAAAGAGTAGCCCAACCTCACCACCACAAGTTGACCATCGAGTCCCACTGAGACCCAAGCTAGGGGGGCATGAGCCTAGAGAAAACTCCAGAAGTTCAATTTTTTCCTGCAGGAAATTGAGCAATTTGGTTATATATATAATATACAAGTATGCGCACATTCATGTTTTTGTCTACAAGATCTACAAGATGGAATGGCCAAAGGTAAGTTTACTCACTATAAGTCTTGACTTCCGGTCCTTCAACCGTTTCTGCGTAGAGAAAATTTTAACTAAATGAAATGATGCTGAGTTTGTGCATATAACCATTAGCAATAAGATTTATTCTCTAAACCAATTCTAGACATTTTTAGTAATAGAGTAGAAAGAATACTATCTTAAAAAGATAAATATATCTCATCACGATATGAGCACGCCCAAAGAAGAATGAAGGGTAAGTTGGAACACATGAACAACTGCACCATGTGGAGCATATAATGATCATATGGAATAAGATATTGAGAAAGAGAAGGGCACTAACATTTACTGTGGATGAGAACTTTGTAGAAAGTTTTGGATTAAAATAATTTGGCCACACTTCCAGCAACAGCTTATTCAACCATGCACAGGGTTCCAAAGGTGTTTCAGGCTATACAAATTATCGATAAGAAGAAAAAGAAAAAGAAAACCATCAGCTTAGCACATTGAAAATTTCAAATAATCAATAAGGACAAAAGAAGAAAAAGGTACCGAGGTGTTTGTTATGAGTCGCCTCCATTGTTTGTTCAAGTCATCAACAATTAATTGGCGTTGGTAACTTCCATACTGCAGGAAAAAGATGATATTACGGCCAGTACTGCACATTATCCCTGCTTAATCTATCAGTTAACTTGAGTTCATAAGAATGATAAAAATAATAAACCCCAAACCAATGATGCAGACATAATCAATCAAAAGATTTAGTAGGTAATTGGGCAACTCAAAGACTGATATAACGTAACACAATTTTCCAGCCAACATCTCCCCACATGAAAATATTTTAGCCAGGTGGCTGGGATGTTGACCATAAGCCAATGCTGATGGAAGTTCTTCAGAGACCCCATGACAGTTTTGGAATATCAATCAGTCAATTAGGAAAAATGGCAAAACTTTCTACACATGGCAGCCATTTTCCATAATTAAAAAGAATAGCTATATTTACTTGATAGTTTTCAATAACTAATTATTTGATAATTCAGCAACTCATTTAATAAAATTGCTGCTATACTTGTTAATGTAGAGTTAACTTCTTCTACATTGTAACTTACGGTTATCAATTGCCAGACTTGTTGGCAAATGCTGGCTGCAAGAGTCTACCATAAGGGAAATTATTCAAGGGAGTTGGAATGCTGATGATTCTACACCCTTGAATGAGTGATAGAGAATTTAAAATCGTTGATCTGTATCAAACGGTCATCAGGGGATAGGGTAAATTTTTGAACCTACATCCTACGGTTATTAGGGGATAACCACATTGTGGCAGCCCCATTGAGTAGTTTTTTTTTTTTTCTGCCCGGGGATTGCTAAGAGATGGATATCTAATCTATCAAAAGTACTTGAGTTGGAACTCGAGTACTCATCGAAGGGTTTAGACTATATAACATTAAACTCATACCAAGAAAGATTTTACAATGCAAATCCACTGATGTTAAGAGAAAGCAGGGGATGGACAAAGCATGGACTCAACTCAAACTACAATGATGAACGAGTCAAACAAAATTTTGAGCCAAACGAAATATATCAAACACCATCCGGGCAGATACAGAAAATTCAAGAATTCAGTCAAATACATTTCAATTTATGAAACAAACAACCTCTATATAAGGGAGAAACAGATCAGGAATGAGCCAAGGAAAGCAGCAACAGGAAAATTTAAGGTCAAAAAATGGAGGGAAACAAAAACCTGCAAAGTGGCCCAAACAGCAACAGCCAAAGGAACCCAATTGGAGAAAGAGAAGACCCATCTCTCAATAGTCCAAGCAATCAGCGCCAAAGGTATCAGAAAGGGAAGAAGAGGCTTCTCCGCCATTAAATGGTGGAAAAACTCCATGGCCCCTTCGCCGTTGAAGAAACCCCTTTTCCGGCCACTTGGGCCACGAGCTCTGCTCATTTGAAACGGAACCCAGAAAGAAAAAACTAATTTCCTCGCAAGTCGTGACTCTGCTTCTCAACTCTGCAGACGCAGAATAAGAATAAAAGGTTGCAGGATCATTGTTTCTGAAAAGTCAAAATCCGAGAATTTGTGGAAAACATGATGGTAACAAAAAGGGAAAATCAAGTGGGCGTAATATAATTAAGTGTGAGTAATTCAAATGTGAACTGAAAGAAACTGAACCGGTGGAGGAAGGTATTGGGGAAATTTCGAATTGGAAGGGAAGACGATGAAGCGGAAAACGACAGGTCAATTTATTTAGTTAATAACTAGAATAGTGATAACGACAGATTTCTCTGTCCGTATAGTTTGCAGTTTGCTGTAGCTGTAAATATTAAATGCTGCTACCTCTCCCTCTTCACTGCACCTAAGATTAAATATCGCCATTGTACTTTAAATTATTTCATTATTGTTTTTCTATTTCATTTGGGATGTAACGCTACAAATATATTCTTTCCGAATTAAAAAAAAAAAAAACGCTACAAATATTGATAAAGATTTGAATATTCAATTGGATATTTCTTAGAACATATTCCATCCAAATGTCTCAACTATTTCTTTAGTTATTATCATTTAATTATTATTTGAAGTAAAAAAATCATTTAATTATTATTTTAGAGATTACCTATATCTCAACAAATTTAGTTTTTTTAAATGGAGAGTATGGACAGAAAATGTAACAAATAATTCATTACCTCTATATTCCTCTTATTCTATAATGTCCAACATAGAATAAGAAATTCATCGAATGCATGGTCCAATCGGGATGCATTGTCCAACTGGAATCACCATAATAGATATATCATATAAGTAGTTCAGGTAGGTCAATCCATCTAGGAAAGTATTTTTTTTTTCCAGTAACACAATGACTTTGTTGTAGCTTCAAAATGCATAAAGGGAACTTTGTGGAACTCGACGTCATCTAAGACAATATACATCATATCCACTCGTTTTAAGATTATCAGAGAGGGTAAGAAGCCATATGATAGATTTTTCACTCATTTAAATTATACTTAGGTCAAGTATTTTTTATTATGCTACAATGAAGTTAGCATTGTTATTATATATTAACTATTAGATTTAATCAATAACCTTTCATATTTTGCATAAATAATGCACAAAATTTTAAATTGTATATCTTCCTAAATTTTCCATTTTAACTTTTGACGAAAGAAAATTTAGAACAAACGTTATAATAAATTTATAATAATACAATAAAAACGTTGTGGAAAATTTTGGAAGTAGAGAAAAATATAACTAGTTTGTTTTTTATGAGCTGAAAACATCTGTGACCCGTAATCAGTACCATGTCAATTTTAGAAAAAAAATAAAATAAAAACGGTGATATATTGATATTGGAAATTATTAATTTTATTTGCTTGAATTTTGAAAAATGAGAATTAAGATATGACGAAAATACCAAGAAAAAAAAAAAAGCCAGCAGGCAGTTGGTTGACCCATGGCCATGACCATAACCATGTCTAATATTTGCGTGGACCCACGCGTTTTCTCTGACGCGTACGGTCCAGAATTTCGCGACTCTCTTCGAATTTGCCAATTTGGAAACCACCACCCGGAGATAGAACTGTCACTCACAACCGAGAGAGATAAAAGAGTTTATTTAGGAATTATGATTTCTTTTTCTTTTTTTTTCTTTTTTCTTTCGTTTTTTATCGGTGATAATTAATATTTATATCCAATCAAAGGGTGGAGATAAAAAATTATTTTTGATTTAAGATTAAACTATAAATTTACTTCATAGATTTATCCAGAGTTTTAAAAAAAATATCAATTACAGTATTAAATTTTAGATTATGATTTCATTTTCGTCCTTCTATTAACCTTTTAACAAAATGTCAAGGGGTATATTTTAGTAGATCATGTCTAACTATTTAGTTGATATTGAACAACTAAATTTGAAAAGTTTCAAATCTTCTAATTTGAAGGAGAAAATTTTTATTTGTTGGCATTCTCTGTAGTCAGAGGATTGTTAAAATATTGTTCTTCATAATCCCCTATAGTTAGTTTAAGGATTCACAACCCTAACGTTATAGAAAAAAGAGGCCTAGTATTAATGTTTTTTAATTCAAATAAGCAAGTATTTGAACTTTGAGGAGTTATAGAATTTTGAAGGAAATAATTAGGCTCTCGTTGATAACGGAACGAGCAATCAATGGACGCGTTTTTAAAGATATTATGAGGAGAGCAATAAAGGTTTAGAGTTCTCCCTTGCTCCGGTAGAGGGGAACTGAACCACTCATGAATTTGTTGTATTAGTAAAATTATAGCTTCTAGATTTCTTAAAAAGAATGGTTACGACAAATTATTGTTTCCAAAATGGAAACAAAACACTATTCATTTTATCTCCAACCCTTTTAGTAAATAAAAAAGAAATGAAAATTGGAAAACCCTCAAAATTTGAGATGGTCCCAAGCCTTGGGAGGAAGCAATATTTGACTTGGTGTGGCAATAGAGTACAATTCCATTAAGAAAATATTCCAAGAAAAACTGTTCAAATTTCCAAACACATTGAAGATCGTAAATGCATCATCATGCACCCTTTCTCAAAGCACAACAAATTTACACTCATTCTTCATCCATTTTTCCATTCCCTTCATTCAAATTTCAAATTAATAGATATAAGATAAATACTTAAATTCACCATTTTTTTTTTAATAAATCAAAACGTGGGTGAAATTGGGATTCAATTAAAAGTGTTCTTTTTTCATAACTAATGAAATAGGGTAGGGTAATTTTGTTCACTTAGTGAAATTGCATTGATTTAATCATTTGATTAACATTTCATTCCCACTTGTGGAGCTCACGATTAGTTGACTTTTTGTTTGAATTTATCATATTAATTTATGCTCCAATGCTGGATAAATTATTCTGCATAGTTGGTGTGTTTTTATATTTCATTAAAAAATGACTCACGAAAAGAATCTGTTCTTTAGGGAAATTTTTCTTTTTTTGTATTTTTCGAATAAAATTTTTCATTGACCATATCAAATGGCGACAAAAAGATTTTTCTTTTTCTGTTTCGTGTTACTTCATAAATTCTAGTTTCAACCTCGGCCATTTCAATCAGAGCAACGTGCGGAAACATAAATTTTACACTATTACATAAATTTGATATGTGTTTTAAATAACTACTAAAATCAACTTTTAAATTTATCTAGATACCTATATCTCATTAGTCGTGAATTTGAATCTTAGCCTCACATATTATACACAAAATAAAAGTAACTATAAAAATTATCAGAACTTTTAATTTCTTGTTTTTAAATATAAAATAAGTTAACTTTTCTTCCCCTGATCTATTGTTTTCAATTTTATTAGATTTTTTACTTTGATTTAAATTATGTTACTTTTGCAAAATTTTAAACTTTTTCTACCCTATTTGAAAATATATATCTGTTTTATATTATTTATGTAAAAATCTCTTGACATTAAATATATTAATTTGTGGGTGATTTGAATATGGGTTACTTTAGTTGATGTCAATCAGAATTTTAAATCATTGTAAAAGAATATTATATTGGGAAAAAATGCTGACCAATAAAAATTTTAAGAATAATATATTATATTTATATGCATGAAACTAGCTATAGAACTAACAAATTGTAGAGAATTGGTCAACAGTGAATTCATTGTTATTTATTTTTTATTTTTACACATGTAATAGAACAATAACAATAATATTAAAAAAAGTGAAGGAAAGCTATCCGTTAAGTCAATGTTCAATGCTTGAAGATTTGTGTCATCTTATTAAAATATGCAACGTGAGAATAATAGAGGGGCAAAATTAAAGGCAACGAAAAATTATAATATCATACGTAATAAATCTAGTGGTCCTCAGCTCATTCAAAGAAATTAAACTGGATAACTTCGTGTTCTTAGATAAGAATATGAGTTCAATAGATCAATGATTTTTCTTGATTGAGTTTAATAATTTGTAAGGTAGAGTTTCGAATCTTCGACCTTCTGATTAATAATATATATCTTAACGATTGAACTTGTTTGGTCGACCAACAAGTCTATTAATTAAATTTCCTCATTTTACTTTATTATATTTTTATATGCGTGGTAAAATTTTATGTTTATACAAAATACTATATTTTCTTTATGAATTTTATAACATTCCACGTAAATCTAACTTAATTGATTAAAGTATTAATAACTTATTTATAGGTTTGAATCTCTATCCATCATCCAAACTGTGATACTTAAAAAAGTAAGATAAATAAAAAATTATTATATTTTCAAACTTTTATTCTATGGACTATTTTATTTATTTATTTATTTTTGAGAAGACAGCCGAAATTATGTTACTTTGTGAAATTTGTTCTATCTAGACAAGCTTAATTCTTAAAAATTAATAAATGGTTCGAATGTTTTAATAGTTATAATACTAGTCTAGATTTTTTTCAATAAATAAATAAATAAATAGTACTAGTCTAGATTATACTAATCCATAAAATCTTACATTTCTGCATTTATGTAAGTTGGGCGATAAAACATAAGAAATCCTTTTAAAAACCCCACAAAATATGTTAGAATCTATATAAATGAATTAAATTTACCCATCCTATTAACTTAAGCTATTGGATTGAGCGGTGGTTTGTTCATTCTTAAGAAAATAAAATTCAAATTAATAATAAAATACTAAAATAAATGTGTAGCTAAGGAGACTCTAGATTTGTAAATCAGTTGAAGTTACAGCAAATTTATAAATATTTATTAGACGAGGGATTTTATATCTTCATATATTATTATTATTATTATATAGTTTTACAGTTTTACTTGATATACACCTGGTTCTTTATTTCAAAAAAATAAAAAGGTCCACCTAATATAATAATAATACCATATTTCTAATAATTGATTATACTTGTTTTCAATCCAACTTGCTTAAAAATATTTTAAAACTATGCGGAAAAATCTGTGGCGGTTGGATGGAGGATAATGTGACATAAAATAAAATAGTTTAATAAGTTTTATATTTTAAAAATGAAGTGATTGTTTAATTATGCGTATCTAATTAAAATAATAAAACGTTAATAATTGACACATATTTTACATGTAAATCTATTACTCTATTTTAAAAATTAATAAATACTCATCCATTCAAATATAATTAAATAGATAAAGGCATCTTTTACTATCTCAAAACATGAATACATTAATTCCTTTACACTGTAATAAAAAAATTAATTTCAATCAAGTTAAATTGTTAACTTTGTAACATGTTAAATTGAGAGAGAAATCCCTCATCTATGACAAAACTCAAGAGGTGATATTTTATCATCTCTTTAATTTTTAAAAATATTTATGTATTCGATTACTCCTTTTGTTTCATGCGATTAGAGTAAAATTCGATCTATTGTGAATTATATATGTAAACAAGATATTATTAATAATTCTTTAGTATTATAGATTTAAGAATGAATTGTCTTTAAAGAAAATTATTTTGTGTTGGTTTTATGCAAAAACTAATAATAATTATTATTACTATTATCTTTTACTTCTAATTAAATTATTTATACGAGAAATTAGTTTACATGGCCTTAAGAATAATTCATCGAAGTTATATAATTGTGGCACATAATAACCATTTTTTTTTCTATCCGTTCATGATCTTTTTTGGTGCTTTAAGGCTAACATACCCTAAACAACAAATTTTTTTTTTATTGATTGTCTATACCCTTGAATCAACGTTCATAAATTGGAAGAAATAATAATTTCATGTAGCAATCTCAACAATTGAATTGAAACGGTAGTTCATATAACAAACTTCATTTCTTACATTATTTAATTCATTTCCTTTGGTTAATATATAAATATAATATGGACAGTCAAATCGAGCATAGCTAAGGAGTTAAGACACCTATATTTGACCAAGAGATTATGAGTTCAAAGCCCACCCCACATATTGTATAAAAATATATATATATATATATATATATATGTATATATATAAAATAGGCTTATATCTCAAATTAAAAAGCAAAAACGAATTGGATTTTGACAACCCACCAACCAAAATCAAGATTTTGAAAGGAAAAAAGGAAAGAAATAAAAAGTTGATGGGTAATGTGTTTGGTTTTAGTGGATTGTGGATCCTTGAACTTGACCATTTTGAGCATATGGGACTAAAGATCTTGTTAGGGAACATACTAAATATTTCTACTAACAACTTTATTTCCTTGTTCATGCATACTCCAAATCACAAAGTTAAAAATAAAAATAAAATAAAAAATCATTCAAAAAGGTGGTCACACAACAGAAAAAAGATTCATTTGAGACGTATAACCCACGATCACATAATGCCTATTTAATTTTTAAGCCCTTTTTGGTTTGCCTCATATTCACACTTGAGTTCTCATCGAATCAAATCTTATACGAATGGTGGCTCAACTTTATTCTCACTTCATTGGAAAAAAAGGATTAAAGTTATAATAAAGATTTTATAATTTAATAGGTATACACCACAAATAAATATTCCCCTGAACATAATTTTGAAGATCTGGAAATTAAACAATAATAAACTCTTCTTCCTAATCTCAATTCCAACTTGGGGATCCTTCAAATTTTTCAAGATGCTTCTATTTATGATTAATTAATTTCTTAAAATCAGATTGATCAAAGGAAAAAAAGAAGAAAAAGAAATGAAAAAGAAACATTCTAATATCTGAATATAATGGTATTTGGGGTGTACTTTAAATTTTCTTTCACCACATGGAGGCTCTCTCTTCAATTATTATGGATACAATGAATCCATCCCTCTCTCTCTTCTACAATTGAAAATTGGAGAGAGAGAGAAGAATAATAATTGTTGATCAGAAAACTTCTGTAATACAATCATTCACTTGATGAATTGGAAGCATCAATGAGATTTTATGTATGTGTGTGTCGACATGTGGGATCTCAAATGGCTTAGCTTTTTGTCCAAACAGGATTTCCACAACCGACTTGTCGTTCGGCAATTAATAACTTCAGCCCTTTTACATGCCACTTTGCTTCAAATGTCCTATTCTCAATTTGTCACTGCCAAAACGAATTTTGTCATTTCCATATTTTACCCACACAATTTGGTTCTTTATATGCAACTTGGCTCAATTCCCTTCCCACCCCTCTTCTTTTTTGCTATTCTGTCCTCCAATCCTTCCTATTTTTCTTTTCAACCCCTCAAAAATATTCAAAAACTTTAATTTTGAACTCTAGTATTCACATGCCTGAGATGTTACTGTTCCTTCTACTCTTGGGTCCTTCATAATTCATTGTTTTCCCTTCAAGTCATCAAAAATTTGATTTTATTAGAAAAATGATCTCTCGTATGTCTACAATATCATAATGTTATCCATAGAATTTGTATCCCTGGCTGGTCATAGTATTATTCGATTTAGATAACGAATCCTGATTATAGATTACATCGATTCGAGAAATAAAAAAAAGAAGGTTTCTTAGAATTTTAAAAATCTCATCTATAATAGTGAATCTATTGTAGTTTCAAATTTATTTTCATTTGAATTTTGTGGGGGCATAGAAAAGTGTAGTTTCAAATTTATTTTCATTTGAATTTTGTGGGGCATAGAAAAGTATATAGTTATAAAGTTTTCAAAATTAAAGCACTACGAATTTGATTAATACGTTGAACAAAACTTCTCACATAAATTAAATAGCATCTACCAAAAGAGCTATTCATCAACAACCATGTTGTTATTTGAACACCCAAAAGATCTTATTTGGGTCCAACCAAGTTAGATTATGTTCAATCATTTAAAACTAAAACTTAAAGCATTGTCGGAACTAAAACTCTTTATTGGAATATTCGGTAATAAAAATTATGAAAAATGATTGAGAAGAAAATATGTGATAATGATCTCTTAAGAATTTTTTAATCAAGTCCACGATCATATTTAATCAAGCCAAAACAGAAAACTCATATCCTATGAATAAAAGGATTTTTCAATACTTACCAATTCCTACCGGGAGTAGGATATTGTTGTCTTATAAGGATTACAATATATTGGATTCTGTATCTCGTGGGTTTAATGAGTGTTTTTCATTCATGTACCTAAGTATATGCTGGGGGCTTTGGATATTTTTGGGAAAGTTTTGTATTCCAATCCTTAAACAGTTATTAGTGAATTATCCACATTTAAGTGGAAGACTTAACGTAGCCTTTAGTGGTGAACCAATATAATTTGCTGTATCGTTATTCTCGTGCTTTTACAGTTTTCTTCCTATTTTCATACATTTTGGTTGTGTTTGAATATTTGTGTGGAATGAGAAATTATCCAGGGTCTTCAATCTCCCAAAAATTAGTTTCTCAAGGAAAAAAAAAGGTTATATTTATATAATTCAATAGAGACAAAAAGGCTACCTATTACATATTTCCATGAAATTTCTCACATGTATGAGAGGTTGATTACGAGGATGAATCAATTTAAGTATATGGCTTAAAAATTAAGGTGGGAACAAATTTGGTCATTTAAATTAATATAGTAGCTAATTAAGTTATAATCTAAACTTGTTCATCACATGCCGTTGAATGGCAACGTAGAATATGGACCGAAGCTCAAGTCAAAGGGACCAAATTGGGTCGATGAAATCAACAATTCTCCATTTCCCTCTCTCAATTCCTTCACCTGTAGAATTAACACATTCAAAGTCAAGTTAGTTCAATTTAACCACTAATTTAATACGTCATATAAATTTTCATAGTGTTTGGCTATACACTAAAAAAAAAAAAATCACTTTTGAGGATTTGGAAGAAAAAGGGTTTACTCTGAAAATCTACCTTCATTTTGTCTCCAGAATCTGAGTCTGAGTTGAAGTCATAAAAGGAGCTTGCAGCTGTGAGTTTCATAGAAAGAAACTGACACCAAAAAGAAGAAAAAAAAAGTCAGAAAAGATTATAAATTACATTTTTTAATGTTACTCAAATTCCAAATGATTGTTTCTCAGTTCAAACTTTTTGGTTTTACCTCAACTTGGTTCTGCAAAGACTGCACATAATTAATTATCTCATCCAACATCACTGCCATCCCCATTGTCTGCAATTAAAGAAAAAATAAGTTACAAAAGAGGAAAAGAAAAAAAGAACCGTCTTTGTTTTGATTCTTCAATATCAATTCATTACCTTATAGCATCCAGGGACAATGTCTTGTAAGCATCTCAATCTTTCATTGATTTTTCCTCTTCTTATCTGTTTGAGAATAATGTTTGAATCTTCTTTAGAACATTTTCAAAATGAAGAAAAAATGGGACAAGAACTCTCTGTGAGAGTTCCTTATGCAAATTTACCCTTTCTGCTACACTGTGACTGTCTGTTGCCTGACCTCTTCTGGCTCTAACATGAACCACTTCCCTCGGTTTCTCGTCGTCGTTTTCGCCGCCCTTTTTCGACCGCTTTCCTTTACTGGAGCTCTGCAGAGCAGACATGAAAAATGAGAACAATCCCATGAGAATTTTGTAAAGTCTGAGAGTAAAAACCAAAGAGGGTCTGTTTTGTACATTTTTAGTCTTGACCCCAGTTTCAGAAATCTGAGGGGTCGAGTTGCCAGAGCTGCATTCAGATGCATCAGTTTCAAGCTTTCTTTTTTTGGTCTCATGGAGGTCATTTCCAGATGGAAAATCGGGTGCTGTGATCTGATTGGCTTGACAGAAAACTCCTGGGAAATTTTCTCCCCAAGTTTCCAGGAATCTGGGAGGAGCTTGGTTGCCGAAGAAACTGTCATTGAACAGAACAGGGATGGTGTCAAGAAAATTCACATTTGGGTTATGGAGTAGACTTGGATTTTGGTTGGGATCCATATCCATTAGAGGAGAAGATGATGGCTTCAAGCTCTGGAAGTTTGCAGTGAGTTCAGCCATGAAAATCTTTGAAACCCAACTGTGATTTTGGATAATGAAGCTCTGGTTCTGCTATTTATAGTGTGGGATTAGTCTATGATTGAGTCTCTTTCTCAAAATTTAAAACTTTTGTAATAAAACAATGGAAATTAAAAATCTGTCTTGTTGGTCATGTGGTAAGTCAAGCTTCCCCTCTTAAAATGGACCCCATCTTTCAGGAACCATATCCAAATAATGATAAGCTTTTGGCTCCAAACTCTATTGAATATTCCTCAACTTATCCACAAAGCCCTAAATTAAGAATATAACTTTTTTCTTACATTTTCACCCCACGTAAACTTGTAAACTTTTGAGTACAATGGTAATTTCAGTTAGTATCAGAGAAAGAAGTCTGATATTCACATGGTCAAAGAAATAGAAAAAAAAACTACTGACGAAGAAGAAGATGAGTACATTACTGCACAAACTTTCTTTTAACAATTACTATATATATACGATGTACCCAGATGAAAGAAATCATAAAAAACCATTTTTTCTTTTATCTAACAAGATTTAAGATGGTAGTTAGAAACTAACTTATCGGTGTAATTCATCTACGACTACTATAGACTTCAATTTTTTCATATCGGAGTTATTCGAAACCTACCTATTTAAGAGAAGTTGATTGAAAAGTGTACTATTATTCAGGTGGGCTATCATTTTCCAAAGGGTATAAATCAAAATCACTATTTTGTAGTGCACTTCTCCTAATATGCTTTGTTTTGTGCATATGTGAGATGAACCTGGCCGACATTGATGATTACCAAAATGAAACACAAGGAAATGTTAATGCATCTCATCATCTCCTTATTTTACAACAACATGTTTTCTTGTTAGATTATCATTTCCCCACAAAAAAGTTTGAAGCTTTTAAGGTATGTGATTATTTAATAAAGTGGGAGAAGTATCAACATCCTTGAAACTCACATCAAAAAGTTATAGCTTCATTCATTGTCAATTATAACACTGTTCATAACAACCAAAATACAAAATTTGAGCTGATTACCTCCCAAACAAATCTTCCTATATCTATATTTAAAATTGTCTATCATTATCCAAAACCGAACCAATTGACTATTGATTTAGGTTAAGTTTTGTAAAGGTTTTGACTTGGGTCTCTACATAAAACAAAGAAATTATTAGTTGAAAAGTTAAGGGCATGAAAACCCAGAAAGAAATTAGAGAAAAGAAATCACAAAGCAGTAGATGGATACTATTTTTTTCTTCTTCTGAAACTTGTGTCTTAACTCTGCTTTCCTCTACCTCTGACTCACAAGTCAAAAACCAGGAAGCTGAGTCCCTCTGCCAAAAATCAATTATAAGATGGAGAAAAGAGCATTATTATTGTACAAGTTCTTGAAATTCAAAACTTTTCTCAATTATGCAGTAGCTGTCAATTATTCATTTGGCCAAAAAAAACCTAAACAATAAGTCCAGTTTTGAATTTTACACTCTGCTTGGGTTCAGAGAGCGAGAAGAAGGTGAAAGAAGAAAAATCAAAGTTAAAAACTTATGCATACTTTTCTCAGCAGGAGTTTCCCACGGCATGAGGCTTATTTTTTCAGGTTTATAAATGGCAATGCATTCATGTTTCTTTTTAAAGCCTTGATTCCTAGGGCCACAATTTCAGAGGGAAATTTATGTTCAACAAATTCTACCCAAGGATGGTTGTTAACCTTACCTTTCTTATTTTTTGTTTCGTTATTTTTAATAAATAGAAATAGAACTGATTTGTGTTGAATAATCTTATGGGTTGGATTGGATTCCGTCAAAGGAGGTTATTCAGTAGCCATCATCGGTTTCATTACTTTTCTTAGGGTGTTAGAACATTTATCCGTAAGAACTGAATTCCTTGTAATGGATAGTTGTAACTCTGGAAAAAACGACCTTTCCTGCACAGCTTAGGTCGAGGGTGAGGAAGGCTCCCTTCTGGGGGCTCGAGCACCCGAATTTGAACCGGGAAAAAAGAGATTTGTAGTCCCCTATCTTATCGCTCGCGATGAGGCGCACCAGTTGACTGGACATCTAGGGGTAAAGCACTGTTTCGGTCATTGGATTGTATTCTTCATCTATTAATTTGGAGTTTGATTGCTAAACACTTCTTTATTTAGTTCTTCGGTATATTCATGCAGATGTAAATTATATTGATCAAAATCACTATATCATCATTTTTTTCTCTTCTTCGTTTACAAGTTAGTTTATCATTAGTGACTACTTTATTAGTTGTCTGTAATTGATCACTAAGTTTAAGTTTGAATTTGCTCAACAGTTTGGTAATTGTTTTTTTTTCTTTCTTTTTTTTAACATAAACAAGGAATTCATTCTCTAAAATTTTAAATTAAAAATTTATATTTTTTTTTCTAATGAGAACTAATTTTTCAATTAAATATTTAATTTTTATCTTATATTTATTTGTAATATTTAGTATGCATTTTATAGCTAAATGACAAAGGAAAAAAAAAAACTTGAAGGTATAAAATGTGATAATATTTATAATTTTTTAAAATGAGTGTCCAAATTTAGCCATCGTCGTAAATTTCTCAAATATAAACATTATCAAATGGTCCGTAAAAAGCATGCCCAAATTGCCCTCCTAGTCCATATCAGTATGCTCAGGTGTCAGTATTCAGCAGAGTTGAGGCCCTAGTTTGGTAATGGGCTTTATAGAGACTTTGGCTCATTTGTAATTTGATTTTCATAAAGGCATTTTAGTTTCTTCCAACTGCATCTTTTGAATTAACAAACCACCGTTTTACCATTTTGAAATAAGTTTTAAATTCTTATCATTATAATATTATATCCATATTAATGATGATATTTTATAGTTTATCAAACCTTTTCATGTTATAATAAAAATTTTCGAGTTACTTCTTAGAACTCATAGCACTTGAAAATATCATATTTGGATGGATTAGTCCCTAAACCCTATCAACACAAATATCATCTCAATAGCTCAATATTTTTTGATCTACTTATCGCCGTTTGGAATGACACTTTTTGTACTGTGCGTACGTCACTATAGTTGTACTTGTACATCAATTAATGCTCCGTTTGGCATGATTTCAAATTTCAGTATTTTAAAAGATGTAAATGATTTTAAATTCTTAATGGTAAATGATTTCAAATTCCTAATCATTGAAATTAAAATTTATAGTTCGAATGTTGAATGAGAAATGAACAAATGCATATTACAATTTTACTCTACACCCTTAAAATTTTACATGATATTGTATTAATAATAATATAATATGAAATAGTAAGGAAAACTACATCAAAAATGAAATCACTTAATCAATTCAACTTAGTAATTTCAAATGGAAAAAAGAAAAAAACAGAACAAACTTGTCAATGTCTACGTTCAAATATTTTAAAAAGAATACTTAAAAGTTAAATCGTTTGAAATATAAACTAAAATAATCAATATATTTATTATAACTAAGAAACTCAAAACAAGACTTCAACGAATAAAAATGTGTATGATCTCCTAAGATCCATTCTATTGGGAACTAACAATTTTTTCGACTCAAATTACTGTTAGAAAACTTGAAATAAAAGGGAAAGAAAATGATTAGGAAGACAAAAAAGACAAAGAAAAAAAAACAGAAAATCAACTTAATTTACTTGAATGGTTGTGTTGAGATTATATGGTAAATTAAAAAAATGAAAGATATATTTCTCCTCCTATAAAACAGGATAAATTTTTTAAGTTCTAATTTCAAATTTTGGCCCAAACGTGATTTCAAATCGATTTCAAAATGATTGTGATTTACAAATCCTTATAAATTAGGGATTCCAAACACACTTGGTTCGAAAGATTTGTAAAATAAAGAGTGATGGTACTAATATAGGATAATGTGCCAGTAAAAACAAAGGAAAAGTGTAGGCTTTTCAAATTTCTCGATGGAATTAAGCTCGCGTTACTCCAAAGAGATAGGAATCAAAGAATGGGAATAAATTTTTGCTTCGAGGTTATTTATCAAAAGAGTAAGAATTGAATAAAATAGTGAGATCTACTTCAAATTTGGTAATTTTCCTCTATCTGAAAGGCTATAAGGCTGGGTCTAGGACTGCTACTGCTGCAGGCGTATCTGGTGAATAAAAGCTAAACAAGAAAAGAAAAAAGCTCCAATATATCCATCATATCACATTAATTCTCTCACCATCAACCATTACTTTCACTTCAAAGACTAAGTATGATGTTCAAATATTTTACAAATCATGTCAGCCGCCGCTGATCAAGCTCCAAATTTGTATTTCTTACTTCTTAGTCGTTGTTCTTTAATGCTTCTAATTCTCCTCATCATATCATCATCAAACTTCATATCAATCCATCTCTTTCTTCTCGATATGGTTTATGATTCTGTTTGGTACAGTGATTGATTCATCCTGGAGAATTTTTGTTTCGTCATCCAAAAAAGATAGAAATATGGAGGGTTATCTGAAATAGAATGAAAATTCTCTTATAAGATTAAGAGTTTGTTTGTACTAGAACTGGTATCAAAGGGTTTCAACTTGCTTCAATTGGGGAAGAAATCATATCTTTGAGAATGACACTTCTAGATTACGGTAAATTTAATTATTCTCATTTACGTTCTTAATTAACACTTCATGACATGAGTATAAAAATTCAAATCTAAGATCATTTTTTATGGCCTAATTTGATAATATGTTAAACTAGCTACTAGAGTGAAATCAAAAGTTTAAATTCAATGGAGTTATAGAGTCAATTTAATTATTAACTCACATTCTTCTTTCCCTTAACTGTGATAATGTTAGCAAAATTAAGTTTAATTAGACGCGTCTGAGATATATAGGGAAAAAATTTTTCAAGATTTTGAATAAGAGCAAACTTTTGGAATACAAGCACAAGAAAAATAAATACTAACTTTTTTCTTCTTTTTTTATTATTATTATTATTATTATTATTATTATTAGTCCTAGTATGACACTTTGGACTTTTGGATTTAGTAGCGATGTAACATAGCATTTGTCGATGTCAACATATCTCATTGATACTCCCGTCGATATCCGAAATCACAACAATGACATTGAAAAGGATAAAGAAGGGCTGAAGAATTTGAATTTGAAGTAAGCAAAATATGTGTATATATCTTAACTGTACTCCCCAAGATCCCATTTGAATGGTGGTGTTTACACACAAGTTGTGTTGAAGGGAATATGAGAGTATGATAGTAAAAATGATGGATCTGAGAGGGATTTCAGCCCACAAAGGCAATTTTGCATCCAACTTTTGGCAATTCACTCACTTTTATACAACTGGGCAAAGTTGGAATTGGAAGTCAAACTTAGCTGCAATAACAAAACCCATATGACTTTTCAACCTCTTCTTTTAGCCTTGTGGATCAAAAAGATAAGAACTTGCAGCCCAAACCAGAAAAACAACAATAATAAAGAAAAGGGTTGTGTTGTGAGATTCCAAGCAAGCTCAAAATGCCGCCACCGGCGCAAGCAAACATTTGTTAGAACAGTAAAGTCGTGGTCTACTCTAAAGTATTGGTTTAATTAATTAACGATATGATCTTGTTTCAGTCAAGCACGTTTCGTTGTGAAAGAAAATAAAGAAAATGGTGTGGAAAAATTGAAGAAACTTAAAGCAGATGACAACTGAACATCTCACTGTCAAGATGTGACATTCTTCTCTTATATGTCTTCCTGTTTTGGTGGTTTTTGGGAATCAGTCCATTATGTCATACTTTGAGTGCTTTAGTGGAATTTCTCAAGCATCAAAAATGGCTTCTTTCTTTCCCCATTCCCTCTCAAATTTGCCTTTTCTTAGTTGAGTTCATAATTAATGTGTCATTTCTCTTTCACTGAATTAGTATTATTGGACTAGATTGTGTGATCTTTAACTTGGAAATGGAGAGCATGAGCAAGAGGATATTAGCAAAATTTTGAAATTTTATTTTAAAGATCAAGTATGGTTGATTAATGTATCTATAAAAAAAATTAAATTCATGTTAATCCATCCATTTAATTTTTTAGAGATACTGTGTTTGAATTGGTGTAGTGTTTTTTTTTATTATCCAAAGTTGACGGTCCTGGGACTCTTTATACCCTTATATCTGGAGTATGCCCATTGTCCTTGTACCTATATGTTTGAACCGGTGTAATTTTATTTTTTAACTATTTAATAATAATAGATATCTATAAAATACTAAATTAATAAAAAAAAAAAGTTTGCTCGTGAGTTTCATGAGGAAGGCTACTTCTGTTGAAAAGTAATATGTTGGATACCTTTCAAACATTTAACTTTTCTTTTTTTTTTTTCCATCAAGAAATTTAATTTTGAGTGGGTTCTTAAAGCACAAGAAAATCCAAGTAATCTTCTAGAAACGGAATAGAATATAAGCTTTTATCTGTAAAATTAAAATAGTCGATTTTTTGAACTCATATAAATTATTTTAAATAGATGTTATCAATACAAACTAAAACTGACGTAGATGTTGACGTCACCTAAGTTCATTAATATATTACTAAAGGTATGGAACAAATCCTAAAGCTTAAACGAAACATTGAATTTCTATAAGAATATAGGAATCAAAATAACATTTTAACCAATATTTTAATTCTAAACTTTGTAGTGTTTAAGTTTTATAATATTGTTTGCATTTAGTAGTGATCCGAAATTTTTTTTTTCGCTACACATTTATTACTTATAGTAAGAGGAAAATTATTTGGCTCTCTACAACCAAATCTTGTCCTGTTTTATATAATTCATTAATTTTTATAAAGAAAATACTTGACACTTTAATAGTGAGGAACAATCGTGTCTTTACTATCAATCAATGTTTGATAACTAAGAGAAAAATACAAAAACTAAGACTTTTTAATTGTAACGAGAGAATGTGTGACAATTCATTATTTTTTAAAATGAATTTTTGTTTTTGCATTTCTCTTTTAGTTGTCAAATATTTAACAGTGGTAAGAACAAAATTGCGTCACCCTACCTTTGAGAACTCAAGTTTTATCCTAAAAATATAAAAAAGATAAATGGATGATCTATTAAATATTTACTTAATTATTAATTACTTATTATCATATTATTAATTCTTAAAAGTCATAGTGAAATCATAGTTCCATTTGTTAAGTTATATACAGTTTCGACCACAATGTGGTAAGTTTAAATCGCTCAACGGAAACAAACATAATTTTAAAAAGTAGAAAAATCAAAAAATCAAATAGTTATCAAAACCGCCTAAACTATTCGATTAATAGAAAATTAATATTTTTAAATCAATATTAAATGTTTCTCTTCGAAAGTTGACTCAACAATAACATAGTTTTATCTTCAGTACTATCAATTTTTTCTTTTTCTTTTTTTTTTTAAATTAAAAGTGAAACCATGCAACATGGACTTATTTATTTAATTAATTTTTTTTTGTGATTCTTAATATAGGACGGAACAAAAAGGAAAGATTTTCCGACTTCAAACTCCATGATGGACCAACTTACCTATGAATTAATTTCCAATGTATTTTTCTGACAAGAAAATATAGTAGAATTAGATAGTTATTTCATGATTAAAATATATATATATATATATATATATATATATATATATATATATATAATTAAATTAAATGTAATTTGGATGGGTTGGTAAGAGGCACTGCGAAGAAGCGTGAACAGTCTTCCTCCTAGAAAGATATATATATACACACACGTGTATATCTATATACACATTACAATTCAACACTGCAAAAGGAAAAAGAGAAAAAAAATTAGGGAAATAGTTTCATTCCATATTGGGATGAGAGGGTGAGTTTTGGGGTTTTGGTGTTTTGGTGTTCAATGATTGTGAAAAATGTGTTCGTCTCCAAAAAGCATTAGTATGAGCACGAGCATGAGCAGCAGCTGTAGCGAATTAGAAGATGACAGTAATAATAATAATAACAACAGTAATTACGAGCAGGAGCAGGAGCAGGAGCTCCGCAGAGGGCCTTGGACTCTCCAAGAAGACAACCTCCTCCTCCACTCCATCTCTCTCCACGGCGAAGGCCGCTGGAATCTCCTCGCCAAACGCTCTGGTAAATTTTAATTCTCTCTCTCGTAATTTAATTACATTTACAAACTGAATTAATTTATGATTTCAGGCCTCAAAAGAACCGGCAAGAGTTGCAGATTGAGATGGCTAAACTACCTCAAACCTGATGTAAAGAGGGGAAATTTGTCACCTCATGAACAGTTCTTGATTCTTGATCTCCATTCTAAATGGGGCAACAGGTAACTTTTACCCCCAAACTCCACCAAATTTTACCCTTCTAATGATTTTTTTTAACCTTTTTTATTGGGTGGCTAAAAATTTCATGTTGCTTCCTCCCAATTAGGTGTCTATAAAAAAAAAATTAGGTTTAATCTTTTAATTAAATTATGTGATTGAATCTAAATTTTGATTTTGGTGGGATTAAGGTGGTCTAAGATTGCACAGCATTTACCGGGAAGAACAGATAATGAGATAAAGAACTACTGGAGAACGAGAGTTCAAAAACAAGCGAGACATCTTAATATAGACACTAACAGCGACGCATTTCAGCAGATTATTCGATGCTATTGGATCCCAAGATTGCTTCAAAAAATCAACGAATCTAATTCATCGTCCACGTCATCATCACCGCCGCCGCCGCCGTTGCAGTTGCCGTCTTCCTCCGAATCAGCGATGGTTTCCGGCCAGACTTTGATGGGTTCTCAAACTCCGATGATGGCAGCGCCACAACCGCCAGCGACGACGTCGTTTCAGGTTCCTCTGCATATCGGTGGAACGACGTCGTTGAACGGTTTGAAGCAGGAAGAGAACAATTCCGGCGGAGATTTCTTCGGGAGTTCTTGCAATTCTTCTTCTTCTTCTTCTTCTTCTTCACGAGTAGTAAATCAAATTTCTGGTTACCCGAATTTTGAAAATTACGGGACGTCGTTTCTGAAGGACTATTGGCACGGCGGCCATGGCGGCGCAGAGATGATGAACTGGCCGGCAACGACGTCGGCAACGGGGGATTCCAGTTACCCGGTTACCCAATGCCACGTGGCTGAAAGTAATTGGATGGACACAGATTTTGCCGGTTACATGTCCAACATGGATGACTTATGGCAATTTTAGGAAGAAAAACTGGGTTTAATTATTATTTTTAGATAACCCAGAAAAACGTACTTCTTGATTGATTCATAATTTTCTATTCATTTGCGACTTTTAATTTGTAAATCTCTGTTTTTCTCCAAACAAAATTCCAAATTCCAAATTATAGAATATTCGAATATTCACTATAGTTGTATTAAAAAAATGTTTAATTGTAATTATGATCAAGTCAATTTTGTAAATGCAAGTATCATAAATTTGCTAAACTTTCATATTTCAATTAACTGATTTGATTTTTGTTTTAAAATATTAAGCTTGGGTGTCTAATGTCTATACATTCAGGAAAAAATAATAATAAACTATATTTTTCTATCCTTGAAATCTAATCCCATGCAACTTTTTAAAGATAAGTGGGTTAAAAAAAATACAATATAAAGACCAAATAAAATAACATAGTATGGAGACTTCACAATATTCTTCTCCTTCGTTATAATATGATATATGATTGAGAAATGAGATACTATTATCTTATTAGAGTATATTAATCTTGATATAAAATGTGAGCTAATATTACTTCTACATTTAGTCCATGATATTGTTAAAAATGGCATAAGACGATGAAGCGATATTCCATAGAATAAGGTTTCACAAAAACTGAGTATGCACGATCATTTTGTAATTCTTAAATAAGTCTACTAAATCTTCTATTATTTTTCGAATTACTTCTGTTTTTATATATCTTGATTTTATGAGTCTCCAATTAATTTATTGGACCAATTGGTGGGTGTAGTGGAAGACTTTTAGGAGTGGTGGAATTAGAATCAAAGCTTTGAAAAGTAGCTTTCAACATAGATAAACTTAAGAAAGGCCACCAAAGTTTCAATTTCAAGGCGAACAAAACAAACAACGTTAACAATGTGTGTTTTTTGTTTTTTGGTTTTGTGAAGAAGAGAGGTCGGAATTTCTTTCTCTTTGTTGATTTTTCTGACCATCTAGATGGATCCCTCTTGCTAGCTGCCCCTCTTTATTTATTAATGTTAAATCTAATCTCCAATTGTTCCAACCCCTTTCACACACCTGTCTTTATTTTTCCCACTAATTTTTTTTTTCAAATCCTGCATATTAACAAGTGAACCTTATCTGCCAAAGCGAGCATAGTTTCAACGGTAATTGACATATATATCTCAAATCAAGATGGCGTGAGTTTGATCTCCCACCTCTAAATATTGTATTAAAAAAACAACTAAATCTTACAGGTCTATTTTTTATTTATTATTCATTTAATTAATCTGTAAATTGATAGTAATTGAATTCAATGAGTAATTTATTGCCTTTAATTAAGGGTTAGAGTGAAGAAGTTTGCAAGGCTATACTAATTTTTACTTTGACACTAATATATAATCACTTGAAGCGCTTAAAGACTCCAGAGATCAAATAATATTAGAGAAACATTGTTAGATAAAAAAAAAAAGATAGATTTAAATACTATTATGGTCTTTATATTTTTTTGCTTTAGTTCTTTTTTTTTAAGGTGTTTTAGTTCATTTTGGTTCACGTATCTCAAAATATTCATATTGGTACTTGTACTTTTAAATTTTTAACTTTTTAAAATTTCTATTTTGGTCATTGTTGATCATTTCAGTCCATTCATTTTTCATTTTATCGTGTCACTTCACTTACTAAATTTCTTGAATACGGCTATAAAATTGTATTAAAAAGTTTTTAGTGTGTATAAAGTTTTGTGTGATGCTTTTGCAAATATGTACCGAATTAGTCGTTTTTTAAAAGTATATGGATTAAAATTGACGTTTTGAGAGTAAAAAAAATTAAAATAACAAAAATTGAAAGTATATGAACCAAAATGAACAAAATTCAAAAGTATAAATAAAAATATATGTATTTTTTTTAATACAATATGTGAGGATGGGAGATTGAACTCATAATTTCTTAGTTGAAGATACATGTCGTCAGTTATCATTGAGTTATGCTCAGGTATCTCATTAAAACATAACTTGAGATGACACATTTAACTATGAATATAAATGTAAACCAATAATAATAAGTGGTTGGTCGTGGTCAATGACTTATAGTCAATAATTCAAAGTTTGACCGGTGGTTATGCATAGATTAAGTACGATTAGTAACTTGATTAATCATCACTAGTCATTATTGAAAAGTCACCCACTTATAAATTGAGTTTGGCAATACAAATTAAACTTGGTAAGCAAAAATGATTTTTTTTACTCTGGTTTTTTTTCTCCTTTTGACATTTACCCTTTTTGTTAAAATCAGTATCTAAATATGACATAGAGAACAAACAAAAATTCATTTGTTGATCGGATCAATTACCAAATGTGTTTATAAATTATAAAGTCATAAAAATGGATAATTAATTTTAATAAAATTTTTCACCGTGCGGATTAAATTGTTACAAATTTTAAATTATAGAGACTAAATTATTTCATATTAAAGTATATTGTTTAAATCGTTAGCAATTAAAATTCAATGATTAAATCGTTATTCTAAATAAAGCCAATATTTCAAGTTAAATAAAGGCATATTCTTAATAGTTTATGGTTTCTCCTCGCATGTTTTTCAAACTAATCTCATTTCTCAGTCAATGTAGAATTTGGTCGGTTTAAGCGAAATGGACGGCACGATATCCTTTACTCAACAGTCAACACCAAAAATTAAATAATAATAATACATAAAAAGTAAAATGTTCTGATTTTTAGTATATAAAAAATCATATTGAGAGAATTCTTACCCTTATTTATATATTTACAATGTTTTCTATTATTTCTTTTATGGATATTATGATTTCTTTTTTTTTTTTTGGCATTCCTCACTATTTTTCTTGACATTTTCAAGTTAGATGCATTGAACTTGAAAATTTAATACCAAAAACTAAAATTTATCTTAATTTTTTTTAATACAACATATTGAGAATCCAAATTCACGACTTTTATATCAAATATTAAAGATATTCAAGTTAAATGCATTGAACTTGAAAATTTAATACCAAAAACTAAAATTTATCTTAATTTTTTTTAATACAACATATTATGAGAATCCAAATTCACGACTTTTATATCAAATATAAATATCTTTAACCAGAGGTTTGCTCTTCTAAACAGAAACCATAAGTTGGCTCATTAAAAAAATTATTTTGATAGCCTTTGAGACTATTAAATCTTTTATATAATTGTTTCTATATTACATCAAAATTTTGATATAAACTATAGGTTTTGTCGTGTCTTTCATCCCATTTTAATAATTGCTCTGTCTATTATATCTTTTTTGTTTTTTTTGTTTTTGACAAGAGTCTCTTAGTTCTTTATGTTACATCAAAAATCAAAAAATATATATTATAAAAAAATTAGAAGATATGATTAGTGTGGTGGTTGTGGTTTTATTCATTTTTCTTTTTCTAATTTTGTGGGTAGAGATAGGTATATGATTAGCCATCAGGAAAGTTGCTTTGAAATTTAAAACTCATTTCCATTACCTTACNTAGAAAAAAGAAAATTTTTTTGTAATTTGATTTGATATTTTAATTTTTTTATATAGTTGATATAAATATAGCTGGACTAAGTCAATATATATGTTATTCTGATATCATTTAGAATTTAGATATGATATGATTTAGGTTTCGAATTTGAATTACATTTAATTTTAGATATTGTTTTGATTGAGATTATTTATTAAGAATTATGAAGGTGTATTTGTATTGAGAGGAAGAAGAAAAAGAAATACAATGAAATCATATTTTATTATCTTCTCAAATTTCTTTCCTACCTAAATTTGTCATTTAAAATACATTATTTACCTGACCAAATTTCTATGTTGTGTTTGTTGTCTAGTTTTTTGGACTATAATATTACAAAATGTGAGAATACAAATGCAGATATTTGACCTATATAAGGAAAGTTATAAATACTTTAATTAGTTGAGTTAGGTACATGATCACATCTATTTTTTTTTACGTTGTAACTTAAAAAGGCTGATTAAACTTTTCTAAGAAATTAATATGGGTCGAAATTGGTATTGTAAATTGAAAATGTTAGATTGAAAATTAAAATAATTATTGAAGATAATCTAATCGAGTCAGTAATTTTAATCTAAGTGTGCACTGTGCACAAACTTTAATAATAATTAAATATCTTACAGAATTGGTCATTTCACTTTTATGTTGCACCATTTTGCTACAACCAATTAAAATAAAATAAGAACCTTACCCTTTAATTTTTTAAATTAATTTTAATTTATCATATGATGCGTGGAGTGAGTAAACTCTCCGTTCCAGTATTAATTATGAGAATTTAAAAGAGAGAGTGACGTATGCCAATGTGAAGAATGAACCTATGCAATGAACTATTTTTCTTTTAATTGTCTGCTCACAACTAAATTTCTATATAGAAAGTGGAAATAGATCAATTATTTTTAGTAGAACATGTGGGGTGGAAATCGAACCCACAACCTCTTGATTAGAGATATATGTCAATTGTGGTTGAGCTATGTTCGCTTTGGCGAAATAGAAGGTCAATTTATTAGTATTTGAAATTTAAATACATACAATTTACAAATTGTTTTATTTATTTTTTAGTAGATTTAAAAAACGCTCAATCTCATTCCTCTACTATAGTTTTTAGGTTAATATGAACTTAACCGAACGATAATTGATACATATCTCTAACCAAGAGGTAGTTAAAATAATTATGTGATAATCTAATATTAGTTTTTTTTTTTTTTTTAATTTTGAATTTGTAATATTCATCTAGTTTCTTTGATTTTGAATTTGTAATATTCATCTCCTGTTTCTTGTAATATCAAAAATAAATTTGGCCATTTTCCAAACCGTTTTTTTCTAGGCTATTTCTACCGTTAGTCCTTAAATTATGGGAAATTGGGATTTTTGACCCCACCAATAGTTCAAATTGGATAAATGAACCCCTTTTAAAAAAACCTAATTTTTGACCCTACCTCTACTTAATTTTGAACCCACCTTTAGTGAAAAGACGAATATACCCTTATTTATGATGCATTAACTTCACCGTTAACTTCCACCCAACCATTTCACCAAACTTTTAACCTCATATTTTACTTATGTTTTGAGTTTGAAACAATCCAAAATTTTCACACCATCCAAACTCCTCACAAATCACGTGTTTTAAAATCCGGGAAAGAAACATTGCCACGTGTTTGATCATTGTCCCCACACTATCTAAAATCGTTGTCCCACATTTTCACATTTGAAGAGTTAGAGGTACGTTAACATAAAACTTTCTGAAATGATTTGAAATATTTTCCATTCATACATTTTCACTTGTCTTCTTGGAAAAAGAAAAAAAATGCAGTCGGTATCCCGGACCAAGTAT